CCCCCCGCCCCGTAGAGCGCGTCCAATCGAACTCTGTCGAGGTCGCGTTTCGAACGTCGAAAACGGACGGGTAAGGAGGCGGGCGTTTTTTTTTTTTTTTTCCGCAAACGATTAAAAACAACGGTGCGTTTTTGAAAATCGTTCGGCAACACCAATCCGACGTATCACGGTCCCCCGTGTGGCCGACCGCGAGCCCGAGCTCGTTTTTCCCGGCCGTCCCCGTGTTCCGGGCGCGGGACGGGCGGCCGCGGAAACGGACCCTTAACACGACCATATCGCCGCCGTCGCGCTAGTTGTCGCCGCGCGCGCAATACCGCGATAATAACGTGAGCCGCGTCGACGTTTTCGCGGTCGCGACACGCGCGCAAGACAACAAAGTCGGCTGCTATAACACATACATGTATGAAAAAAAAAAAAAATAATAATAATAATACGATTTCGTTTGAAAATGAGCAACAATCCGCATAATATATTACTAGAGCAATAATAATAACGCGTAACGCGAACGCCTGACGGGTAAGAGGGCGTAATAGTCGGCGAACGGCGCCCGCTCGTCGCCGACGAGCGATAATAATAGGGCGAGCGATTGGCGCGCGTAAAAAACCGATCGCGTTCGCGAAACGATCGTGTCGTAACCGTGACGCGGCGTTTGTTTACCGGCTGTTGCGAACGCTGTTCGAGGCGAATCGGAAGAAAAGAAAAAAAAAAGAAAGAAAAACACGCGAATCGCGAAAAAAACGGCAAAGAAAACGCGCGTTTCGTACGGTCGACATGTCCACCCGATCTCTCGCTCCGCCGCCGTTTGTTTAACCGGTAAAAAACGGTATCGCGAGCCATCGACGTTCCGCCCGAGATATAACGGAACGTTAAAAGTCGATTTCGTCGCGGAAAACGATTAAGCGGAAATTCCGCCGGAATCCCGCAGCCAAAACCGACGGGTTCGTTGGGAAATTCGGTTCGCGAACCGCGGGTTTCGATTGGGGGAACCGAGTTTTACCGGGGTCCGACGGCACGAGAACGGGAGACGAAAATCGCCAACCACAGAAACAAAACGCGTTTAAATTTCGTTTTACGAACGCGACCGTAATTAATGTTATTATTATTCGCGCGGCGGTTTTACGGTGCTTTTTTTTTTTTCTCGTTTCTTTTTACAGCTCCCGTGCGTCTGGCCCCGACCACTCCGTTCGGTTACCGTCTTCCGTTCGCGTCGGAAGACAAAACGACGGGACGACCGGGGCGAACACGCGGCGCGGCGTTTGCGAAAATATCTTCGGCGACGAAGACACGAACTCCGACCGGGTTGCGGGTTGCGCGCGAAAACAAAATCCGTCCGGCTTTTCGAATCCGCCGGCTCCCATCGACAATTTTTTTTTTTTTTTTTGATTTCTATAAAGCCGACGCCGCGACCGGTAAATGTGTCGCGCGCGGGACACGAGGGCCGGGGAAACATCGAAAATCAACGAACACAGACCGCACGCGAAATAGCACACGCCGTTACGTAATACGCCCTATTGCCCGGCAGGCGATCTTCACGACCTGGTTAAATCTATATGGTAACACGACGGCGAAGGGCGGGGTCCCCGGTTTCGGCCGAAATCCGCCTCTCTCGCGTTCACTCGGCCCCCGGATTATTCGTTCTCGCCCGAAACGAGAATGTAAACGTTTCGGAAATCGTTTTCTCCTCGTCGTCCGATCCGCCGTTACCGTCCCGGCCGGATGATATGGATTAGGAGTTTCTCACTCTCTCTCTCTCTCTCTCTCTCTCTAGGAATCGCCGAAACGTTATGTTGTATTAGGAACGGCGCGGGAAAACGGATTCCGAAACGTTTGAACCGCGGAAAAGTTCGAAATCCGGGGCGGGAAACGCGGAAACGCGGTTTGATTCGCCGACGAAACCGGTGGATTCCGTGACGTCGACGTTCTCGAAAAAAAAAAAAAAAAAAATTACATAAATATATTTATATATCGTAATAATAATAATAAATTGTATAATATGGTACGACGAATAACGGTTGCACGCGCGCGGAGTCAATCCACCACTTGGACGGTCGCGTAAGCGCTGAACGTGACCTTTTTGGGTTCGTCGTAGGCGTGTTGATAGGGTTGGCTCTTGTTGTTCTTTTTGATGACCGATTTGAGGTTTCCGCCGTTTTTGACCTGTTGCCTGTTGTGCTGGTGCTGTTGCAGGTACTGCAGCTGCTGCTGGTACTGCTGTTGGTGCAGGTGATGGTTATGGCTAAAGTATTGATAAAAGTTCGGAGCGGCCGACTCGCCGACGCTGTTCCGTCGCCGGAACGTCACCGGTTGTAAGTCCTGCTGGGGCGGCGGCGACTGGTTGCCCGAAGTGATTTCCCGGAGTTTTCCGAAGAACCGGTTGCCGAACGACGACTGCTGCTGTTCGACGACGTTCGGATACCGGCTGAACGCGACCGGCGGAGGGTGCGATGCCCCGACCGACGACAGGGACGCCGGCGGTTGGACGACCGGGGCCAACTGTAACGGAAGTTGCCGGCGGCTGGGTCCCGAACTCCTGCTCCGGGTCCGGCTGCTGGACCGCGACGATCGTCTGTGTTCTTCGTACCGGCCGTCCGGCCTGTCGTAGTCCGCGGTCGACCAGAGCCGATCGGGGACTGAGGCCGCGGACAGCGCGCCACTGGTCGGCTTGCAGACGACCGGTTGCTCTCGGCGCGCCGTGAACTTCCTGTCCGACGGCGGACTTGTAGGCGGTAATACGGCACTGTGGTTGACGTTCACTCGGATAAACTGACCCCTTACCACCTTCTGTTGCCGCCTGAAGTCGTCGCCGCCACCGCTGTCACCGCCTTCCGATTTCGCCTTGTACTTTCTCCGTTCCGGTCTCTGGGGAGGTGGCTCGTCGCCGACGCTACCCCCGTCTTCGTCCTCGCCACTGGCCCGGATCTTGGCCCTCGGCGACTCGGGAGTACTGATGCTTATGATGCTCGACGGGGGCCCGTCCCTGCTAATCGCTCGGCGAGAGTCCGGAGAACTGCACGCGTTGTCGGCCGAGGTGGCCACCACCGGTCCTGCGGTCACTTCGATGTGCGTCACCCCGTCGGTGTCGGTCCGTTGGACCAGATTGTACCGATTGACTTCGGGCGTTGCCGTCAAAATTACGTTGCCGCCTCCGGCTTTGCGCCTCTGCGACGCGCCTGCGCCGTTCGCCTGGCTCGCCCACAACTTCGGTTCCAACTTCAGTCGCCTGCTGTGCTCCTGGTACGCTCGGCACACGTCTTGCAACTTGTTGTCACGGCTCCGGACAACTATGGCCTCCAGGCCCGCGACCGACGCCCTCCGGGTCTTGATCACCCAGACGGCTATGCCGGGCAAAGCGGCCGCGTCCGTGTGGCAGAACGCCACGTCAGCCAGGCCGTAAGTCTCTCGGCCGTCACTGCCGCCACCGCCGGGCGGGTCCGTGGCCGCGGTGGCGACGGCGGGGCCGGCCGTTACGCCATCCTGTTCCTTCAGCGAGGCGGCATCTGCGTCGTCACTGTCCTCGGACACGCCGCTGCTGTTGGCGCTATCCGACCCGGCCCCAGTCCCGGCGGCCGACGCGGCCAACAGCGTGCCGATTTTCCGCTTGTTCGGGTCCTCGTACGAACCCAACGACGCCAGATCCTCGTCCGACTCGAACCCCTCGTCGTCGGGCCGCTTCCGCTGGTACGGGACGATCTCCAATCCGGCGTCGCGGCTGCACGCGACCGCGCACCGTCGGCCCGGCAACCGGCCGCGTTGTTGCTGCTTGCACAGTTGCCTGACCAACGCGGCCAGGCTGTCCGAGTCGGCGGTCCCTTGCACGGGCCCGCGGCCTAGGAGCTCACAGTCGGCCGTCGTCACACTCATTGCCGCCCTGAAACAAAAACGCAAACGCACGCAGTCAGCAACGTTCGTATCAAAGGGTGTAATTCGTGTGGGTTCGCAGTACGCGTTATGGGTTATGGATTTCGGTATCGACCCGCCGCCCGTTCGCCGAACCCGAACGCACCCGCGCCGAGGCCGAGAAAGGCACACGCCACGATTATTCGTACGACATAAAACGAATGTGAAACCGGACCGGTATCGGTGGTCGGCGACGATTTTCGTTTATAATTTTTCGGAGAAAAATGCCCCGAAGACCTTTGGAACGGGGAAAAAGAAACCGCGTGTGTTATCGACCGACACGTGTTTTTCGTTCGATTTTAACATCGACCGGCGGTTTTCGAATTCGAATACGTTTCATAACAACGTAACGGTAAAAACGCGGCATCGGCCCGTCCCTAAATTCAAAATATTCTTTTCGGGGGGGTTGACTCGCGGTCAGACAACGTATTATTTTGTCTTAACTCCGACGCGTCTCTTCCGGCCAAAAGTGTTTTCTCTGTACGAACGCGGTACGTTAATTTTTACGGATCTACGTCGCGAACCAAAACACGTGTACACGGCCGTGACTACGGAGCACACTCGACGGTCCCGAGTGAAAATAAAGTGAAGGTTTTGTTTTTTTTTTTTTTAGTATTAATTTGTACGCGTATTCTTTGTCGAATTTCGGTTTTAATTATTCGGCTCGGCGTGGAAAGTTTTTCCGCGCTCGTTTAATTACCCAGTTTTTAATTAACGTTATTTAACTCGCCCGTTTGCTTGTGTATACTTGTTTGCACCGACGCAGTGTTGTTCGATTATTAAACTGTTTTGCCTGCAATACCGCCGCCGTCGCCGAGTTAAAATCTACTGTCAATTTTCCGGTTCGACGCCCGTTAGACAATAATATTTATAACGAGAGATAATTTGCGGAATAGTTTCGAGCGGTTTAGACGCGTTCTACGGTGTGTCTACTAGTCGCGGTATACAGACAGGTCGTCTCGCGCAGGCGATCGCGATATCTCGGAAAACGTCGACTTTTTTCGGGATTTTTTTTTTTTTTTTTTCCGGACGAAACGAATAGCTTTGAAATGTCCTACTACCGTTATTCTCGGAGAAGCACAGCGACTATCTGCTTTTGATTCTCAAACGGCGACCTGTAGTAAAAATATGCGCGGCATCGACACACTCGTCATTTGTGTAACGGTATACTGCTACTGTCACCCTACCCAAATCTAAAAGTGGAAATGCTCGCCGACGGGCCGGCGATAATCGACAATGTCCCAACGGCAAAACCCGTTCAAACCGAGTACTCCGTCGGTTCGCGGAATACCGGACGTACCGTTTGAGAATCATAAGTACGTGGCCATAAAATCGTTTCGGCCTCAAAAACAACGGTAACGCGGTAATTATAGAGCTGCTCGTTTAGAAAAAGAGAGAAAAAAAGATTTACGCATATACCCCGTACGATGAATGGGCCACTGTTGTAGTCGGGAAAGTAGAGGGGAAATTCAATATACGAAACGGTAAACCGTTGCTGTCGAAAAACGATTCTGAGCGAAATTCGATTAATAGTGTTGCTTTGTCTACAATGTACACGTAACAGTATGGTTGCATATGCATTATATATTTCCTTAAATAATATTTATTTAATATTTTACAGTTTTCTCCGGTTTTTCACGTGGTTTTTCCATTTATCGTGAAAACAGCTGGGTAAATCAAAAAATGACCTCCTTAAAGTACCGCTAGAGTCAGATTTCCTCTGTTATAATCTAACGAGTTATTGAATATATTGATTTTATCGTATTGATTGTAAATTTAAAAAAAATACAACTTTAAGTGGTCTTTTTTTTTTTTAATTGATATCAAGTATAATAATTTTAAGGGACACGATTAGGCGATCGCCTATACGATCTCGGGGGATGCCGATAGTCGCGTCCGCAAAATTCAGTGTGATACTGTCTTTTTGGATTTTAAACTTGTCGGGATTTTGAGTCTGTCGGCATTTCGACTGTCGAGATTTTGAACTTCTCCACGTGTGACGCTCCCCTTCAAAAAAAAAAAAATCCTGACGGCACCAGTGCGTCGGACAGAATACTTTTGTGTACACAACCTTCGGGCGGACGACCGGTCGGACGGAGCGAGAGAGCGCCCCGAGGTGTAGGACCGTGAAACGAGCAACGAGCCGCGACAGACGGACGGTCCGCCCGCCGGACTGGAAGGATTTTCTTTATCCGACCCGGCGGCACTGTTTTCCAGTGACCCGGAACGCCGCGGCTCCGTCGCGTAATTTGCAGGAAATTTATTCCGTCTCGCCGCCGCCGCCGTCGGTTTCTTCGCGGTCTAATCGTTTTTTAAACAAATTCTCGGCCGCGCGCATTCACCACACGGCCGACGAATAATAAATCAGTCTGGACGCGCCGGGTTTCCGCGAGAGTAAAAGGACGTAAACGCAACAAAACGCGTCGAATAACGTCGGCGACCTCGAAACCGGGCGCGCGGAAAAAGCGCGCGCCCGCGGCCGATCCCTCTAAACGTATGCGCGCGAACAACAAATAATAACAAAACGATTAATCGTCGAACACGGCCGTCCGAGCAAACGTACGAGTACGAGGACGTAGTCGAAAAACGAACGGACACTGACTCTGTCAGTTTGTTCCGCGGCCAATGAATACCGTAACGTCTCGACGCGCGCGTGCGCATCCGCAGTGCCCGTCTGCGATTGAACAGCCCGCGAAGGTAAAACACCCGCGGCGTATTCGCGGGGTTTCAATTGCTGTTCGTTAACTGCGACGGTGTTTTCTGCACAAACATCGCGTTTCCGTCGCGGGTTCGTTTTCCCGGCATTTAGGTGATCCGAAGCGAGCGGGTTTCCGTGTTCGTCTTACACGCGTGGCCCACAGGGATTTAGACGCTCCGTGTTCCGACCGACCTAGTGAAACGACGAGAATTCCGGAAACGGATTCGTCGAATTCGCCGCGAAGTCTGCTTGAGATCGACTTTCCCGCTTTTTAAATTCATCCCCCTTAATTCCCCTTAAAAAGTCGATATCAAGTAGACTTCGCGGCGAATTCAAATACGTTTCCGGAATTCTCATTATCGCTCCACTAGTTCGGTCGGTACACCGGCGCGGGCCGAGGGAGGGGGAGGGGGGTAGGGGTCAGCGACGGATTAGCAGTACGTTGACCTGTATCCACTGATTTCGGGCGTGCGGCGGCAAATCGTAATTAATTCGATTGTTTTCAATCGCGTTTTAAACTACCGTGCGCGCGCCGCACGGGTGTTCTATTGCAAACTGCTCGCAAACGAAACGTCCGCGAGATATTCGTAACACCGAATATCGCACAGCGAAATAGTCATTACGGTCTGGACGAGTTCAGGAATAATAACGCGACAACGGCGTGCACGAGTCGAATTAAATTTACTGTATCGTCGAATTTTCGTGTGCGCCGATTTAGCCGATTCGCGACGATGATCCGGTCTCGTGTTTCTACACACACAACAATTATCTCTAGGAAATATCACGCGGAACCGATAGACCGCGACTACGTCTGTACCATCGGAATGATTTTTTGAAGCTCGTCTTCATTGAGACCAAAGACAACAAGTATTACAGTCGCGCATTCGCGGGACGGGTAATCGGGAACATATTTGATGCTTTAAGGGGAGGAACGCGTATTGTCTGAACAGGTCCTAGCATCTTTCCATCTCGGAAATTCGAACAGTTTTTATTTTTTTTTTATGAAATTTTCAACCGTGATCTGTTTTTGCAATGAACAATCGTTATGTGCACTGAAAGTGAACGGCTTTGTGCAATAACCGTTAGAAACACTCGGTCGTTTTTCAACCTTTTTCAGAAAACAAGAGGAAAAAATTGTTTTACAATTGTCGGGTTTTCAATAAAATCGATTTCAAAAGTAATATTCAACTATACATCTGCACACCTGGATAATAAAAAAACCAGAGCCGTCTGAAAATTATCATATCGAAAACCTTTCAAATACGATGGGCACCCATACACGAGCGCACCGACGATCTCGAATCCTCAGACAGATAATGCGGTTACCGTACTGGTATACGGTATGCCGCGACACGATACTGTCGTCCGCGGAAAATCGGCCGAACGCGTTCGGAAACGGATCGCGGGTACGAGTCCGCGTCGATAGCCGGATCGGAAAACAACGGTATCCGCGGCAAATCCGTTTGAAAAACGACAATCGTATACGGTCACGTGATCGTCGGCGTTTTGTCAATAGGTCGAGATAACAAGCATACAGGGCGATTTTCATCGCGAACCGACAGTTTTCTCGGGGAATTTCAAGTGAATTTGTTTACGGGGTTTTTTTTTTTTTTTTTTTATTCGATCACTCACTGTGCAAACTTTAAATCAACACTATTTTCAATTTTTCACCCCGACTCGATAATGCCACGAATGAGTATATACATTTGATTTTGAATCTATACTGATCCGAACAGAAATAGTATTTTTGTGAATATTTTGACGTGTATTTTAACGCTGATATTTACCGTTTTACGAGTTACGACAGTAGGTAGTGTAGACCGGAGGAGTAGGCATAAGGGTTATGCGTTTATCGTCTAAAAACGGACACGGGTTTCACGCTGCATGTAAACTGAGGCGAAAATAATGTAACATTATATAATCCGCGAAAAAAATCGGTACTACTAAAACTCTGTCCCACACAACATCAGTACGGTTTCTTTTGGGTACGCCCTCGTATATCGTACAGACTACTCTTATTGTTTGTATTGATAACATGCAAACATTAAGAGTATATATCGTATCGTATCGTTATCGTATCGATATGTATACATAGTATAAACAGAAGGTAAATAAAATAAATTGCTGCAGTTTGCATAATGTGCCTTATCGGTTTTGTGGCGGATTGTATAATGTTAAATTTTTTTTTGCCGCAGTTTACCGTCTCCCGGATTGTATAATGTTAAATTTTGTTTTGCCGCAGTTTACCGTCTCCCGGATTGTATTACCTTTGCCTACTCCTCCGATCTAAACTCGTTCAATGGTAAATCCTTTATAAGTATCGATATTTTAAATGTTCCCGTTTGTAAATTAAAAGCATATACATTATTTAATGTATAGGTATGCGCAGTAAAGGTGAAACGTAAAAGCTTAAACGATTCCGCAATGATTGGAAAAAAAAAAAAACAGAAATCAAATTCACTTAAAATGCTCCGAGAAAATTGCCGGTTCGTGATACAACGATCACTCTGTATACAGTGTGCGCAGACGACACGCGCGGTAATAAAACGTTTTTCACGCGGCGTCTTCTTCGCGCGAGTCGACATCGATTTATTTTTTTTTTTCTTCCCGCATATTTTTTATTGCGCTCTCGCGATCTGCCCGGCCGTACGCTTTAACGGATTATAAATAATAATAAAAAACAAAAAAAAAAAAACGCGTTTCGAAATGGATATGTGCACTCGCCGCCGTCGTCGACCGGACAGACGACAGCTTAATTGCGCATTCGAACCGGAACGTTATGTAACGCCACTGTTGCCAGGGGAAAAAACCTCGTGGATATCTATGTACGTCTTACGGTTAGCTGCGGAGCAAAAACAATAAAAAAAAGTGTGACCGAACGTAAAACTTGTACGCGATTTTACGCGCACTCGGCAGACGATTCACGCGGAATACACGGGGACTTATACTCGGCGGCATATTTACGGGGGCGGGGAGGGATTCGCGGTGTCCGGACCCCCCCCCCCAGAAAACGGTATGATTTCGGTAAATTACAGTTGTCCATTGCTAGACGCCGTTGAAATGCGTACGCCTCTGTCCAAGACCCCTGTCGAAAAAATCCCGAAACTCCGCCGATGCTCGTACCGCGCCTACACACGCGTCGGACGGTTTTCGGGACAGGCGTAAATCGTGACGGACCGGACGTGAGCGTAGTATACTTTCACGACTGTTAAGGCGACAAACGGACGGTCACCGAAATCCGAGGTATTACAGCGTTTGGCCTGTACGATAAGAAGCGTCGGCCGCGGACCGAATCCGATGAACGGAAATTGAACCGTCGGCGTTTCATCGCGACACACGCGTTTTATCATAGAGACCGTGTAGGTGTTTATCACGGGATATAACAATCTTTATAGTTGTCTATGACGATTGCCGAGTGACCCGCGGCGACTAAATCCGGACCGACGTGTAAGTGAGACGGGCACCTATAGACGAGCTAATTTTTTTGTCCCGACACAATGACATCCGAATGTCAAGCATATTGAAACATGTTTTACAACATTTTTCCACCGACGAATTCTAGTAATCACTTACATAAGATAACAATTATTGTTGTACAGCCAAAGTTCCAGACGGCTGGTCATACGATAAATTGCATAAAGTTCGTTCTAATTTTGCAACAATATAACGGGTATACCTACGCATAAGAAAAATAAAGTGCACGCGATCCGCTGTTTTACACGATTAACAATCTAAAATGGGAATCCGCACAAAAATACTTTTGATTTGGACATTTCAATACGATAAAATCGACTCAATAGAATCCAGACAGATGATAATTTAAAAGTTAAACGATTACTTGTTTGAATTATGTGTTTGCATATTTTTTGCCCGATAGAACAGAAACAAATTTTTTAACGTTGAAAAAATTAAAATCATTATTCCTAGGCGGCCTTATAATAATGGGCTATTAGGAAATATAATATTCCTAGAGCTGAATTCGAGCCTGATCCGACCCTGCTTGTTCTGGGGATTTAATATTCAATATTCTTCGTGCGTCGTAACTTATAATTATTTTATCATTCTTAGCATAAGGTACAGCGATTACGAAGTTGTGCTAAGTGTTGGCGAATCCGGATAATTTATTTACCTTGCACTTTAGATTTTGTGCGAAGCGAGGGATGTATTGAGCTTACTATAATATGTTTTTTTTTCTACGCAATTCGGATCGGTCGATTAAACGGATGTCGATACTCAACGCGATTTGTATTTGCATTATAGTTGCGTCGTTACCTAACCTGGATTTTTTTTTCTTTTGTAATATCTACATTGAACAATTTGTGTGTGGTTTTTTTTTTTTTTTTTTCCCAATGACAATATTCCGCAGAGTCGAAATATCGCGCTGACTTGACGGCGTCATCCAGTACGAAAGATATTATTATTATTATTATTATTATTATTATTATGTTATATCCACTTGATCTAAATATTTCGAACGGCGCACACGGTCGGAAAGCGACGGGGAGCACTGTTGCAGAGTCGCGGCTATACTCGCGTACCGGAGAAAGTCTTAAAATAATATTATGTGTAACAGACTCAAATGTATAGGTTAGGTATCTCGCCACAGCTGGTTTCCATTAACGGGCAAAATGTCGGTTTCGCCGAGATAACTTTTTGGACATTCTACACACTTTCACACACGCACACACGCACACACACACACACACGTCACAACAGTGTGTAAATATTTAATCGCGCACATTCGCACGATAAAACAGTGTATAATATTATTGTTACACAGACGGGGCCGATAACAATATTATCATGTTCGTTATTGATCGTCGAATAAAAGGTACGCGCGTCGTGACCGTTTGAGACGGTGTACGTATCGAAAACGATTTCGAAATCGTCCGCGGCCCGAGTACACACATGCCTACAATGTCTTTTGCAGACGTGCGGAGGTCGAAACCGATCGCGCGAGCGAAAATGTATTTCGGGACGTTACGGAGGTCGTACGAGAAATGTTTTGTGCGCCGCCGCGTACTTTTTACCGCACGACTCGTGGTTCGTTTGTTTAAAGAACGGACGGCGATGTACACACGTCGACGCGTCAGACGTACACCTAAGTATCGGTTTCGGGTCTCGTCGGAGTATTAACAGCGATAAAAAAAAAAAAAAAAAACCCGCCGAATCGTCAGCGTTTAGCCGTTTAGCCGCGAACGGTTTTCGTCGACTTTCCCCGACAACGCTGCGCCGAATTTTCGTTCGGTTCGATACCGGCTGTTATCTGATTTCCGGACCGACCGAATCGGTCATTTGAGAAACAACATTTGTATGCCACGTACGACGATTGAGAAAACGGTTCACACGATTTTGTTCGTACGCCTTAATATTCCAATATTATAATTTGATGTTATAAATCCGATGGTCTTTTCTTTTCATTTTGCTAGTAAACTCGATCTGTAAAACTTTTTAGGAACTAATGTTGATGTGAAATATTAAATACGGTTTCAAAAGTTAGTACTTCACTATTCGCCGACTAATTTGAAATCATACGTTTGAAAAACAACAATGTCCGAGTGAATAAAATAATTAAACACCACTCTGTAGAATGTACTGTAGGGTAATAATTTCGGTTTAGGGTTCCGCTTTGAAGTCAACCACGGTATGTTAATATTTTTTTTTTACACAATTTTAGTAACTGTGACTCGTGTTGATACACAAATGACCGATTCAAATACGAGCGGTTATAAAGTTCTTTTACGGGCCGATCGAGGTGATTGAAAGCCGGGTCGAACGTTTCGATATTGATAATTTGAGCACGCGGTCGCGGGCGGAGGGGAGGTTTTTTCGTTAGTTTCGCTCGCCCCCGCGGACGGGATAGATGAAATGTTGAATACATACATATACATATATACTCGTATTGACGGAAACGAGTAAGTATAATCATTTTAATTGTTATCTTTTTTTATAATTGCCATTTAAGGGTTTCGACCCTCGCGCCATTGCCCTCGCCATTCGTACCGTTCGAATTGCATGGATTTACGGCGAGATACCGGGTGTCGAAAATACCCCCGCAGACCTCCACGCTCGAATCGGATGACGGCAACGAGCCGCGGCCGACGAGCGGCCCGGGGAATTCGACTACCGGGTCGACCGCGGGGCGGGCGTGAAATGAATCGATTTCCGAATGGCAATATTCTCGGCGGCAAGGTCGCGTTAAAAAATCGTTCCGCGAACGGTTTTCGCGTGCGTCTTTAAAACGCGCGCCCGTCGCTGTTATTGCGCAGATTACTAGTCCGTGTGCCGTAATTCGACAATCGAATTATACACGTAATGTACGCGACACATTCGAGCAGTTTCGGTTTAATTTCGCGCGAAATCGCTTTTGTCTCGTGTCCGTTTCGTTCGACCATCAGGATTTATTCGGTACTGCATTATGCACTGTGCACACGACCGTTCGAAATCTCGGACGAAATTTCGACACGGCGCATCATCGCGTCTCTTCTTTTTTCCTTTTTTTTTTTTTTTTTTTTTTTTTTCGAGCAATATAATATACGCGTTCGCGCAAAAACACTCTATAAACGGCTTAAACGTGTCGCAATTCCGCCGCGAACGCGATATTTATTTATTGTACACGAGTATGCGTACACGTAATTATAATCGCCCTAATTGTTCGTGTCGCCTGATGCCGCCACGTTACGCCATCTGCATAATTAGAACCGGCGAACCGACGGAAACGCGTTCAATGATACGCTGCAATCCTAATGTTGCAGCGGAGTCGGTAAACTGCGCCGTAACCGTAGTAACACGACAACATCACCCGGAGCGGTTCGGTAACGCCGTCACCATCATGACCGAATCTTATCGGAATATTCGTATCGAATTATTATAACGTTATTTTATTTTTACGTTTATAAAAACGACGCCTCGAGACTTCTATAATATTGAAGTATCGTCATCGTTAATCCGAAAAAAAAAAAAAAAAACACACACACACACAGGAACCAAAACATATTGCCGTAAAAACAAAATTTGATGGCGGCGATGAAGACGAGCGCGGTAAAAGACAAAACGGTATATTCGGCGGTTAAAGTGGCGGAAACTTCAAATGGCCTTTATAGTGTATTCCCCGGAAATCGAGTAGAGTACCCGAGAACAGACTAAACCCAGCCTGTGGACTTTCAGGAAATCCGAGATTTCCAAAACGTTTTTCTCTTACACGCGTGTCGTTTGTTCACCAGAATCGATTCGGTAATGTTTAGCGTGTTGGAACTGTTTGGACGTTAATCGTTTGAGGCACTCACTTAGGTTGTTCGAAACATTCTTAATGTTTTTAATTAATTGCGTTGTTCTAATATAACGTTACTATGTCACTTCATTATCTGCAAAAAATCTCCCGTAGCATTTCGTTAACACAATAAACTATACAATATATATTATGCACCTTTATAATATATTTTTTATTCAAAGGAAAAACAGTAGCGAATTCTGAATTGGGTTTGCAAATATTATTAACCATTATAACACGGAAAACGTACGGCTTGGTCCGTTATCGGGCCGAAGACCCCGATTAAAAAACTTTCATGCGGCCAAAACAACTTTCCAGGGACCTCGTTTCTTAAAGTTTTTCGACAATATTACGTTATTATTATTTACGATAAATGTGCGGCATAGGTAAACGTGTGTTTTTGCGGGTACACGAAAACGTGCCTCCTGTTAGTTTGAACGGAGACGAATAAATATCGTATTGGTAAATTTACTATTTTATTTTATTTTTTTCTTCGATGTTCACACAAATACTATCTCTCTCCGAAGTATGCCGCGCACGAATCGTAGAAAAGTACAAGTGTATATAGAAAGTGTGTTCGGCCGCCTCTGCGTAGTTATAACCAGATTTAGCTACCGCTAGGCTCTTCCTCGGCGATCCGCCGTGTGATTAAAAAATAATCGCACAAAACCGTAAAATATCATTACGTTTTTCTGCACCTTCGGCTTTTGAACACGGTGCCGTTGCGCGTACACCGAACTCGGGGCGAATCGTTTGTAAATAGCATCGCGGGGATTCGTGAAAACGTGTACCTGCGCGAAACAATGTTCTCATAAAAATATTATTCAAAACGAAGACGGAATTTCGTCGTGTCTGGTGTATAAAACGATCACAACTGTAGGGTATATTATTTATTATTATTATATTTTTTGCAATATTCGAAAACGAGCGTATTGAATTACATTCTAATAGAAAACATTAACATAGAATCGCATTTAATGTGCGAACTTTATAACAAAACATAAATAAATTCGTTGACACATTTGAATAATAATACGAATTACGTTTTTGGCCGTTTGCCATGTGGGTAATCGTTTCGAAAATTCTTGTCGGTGCTACATAACGGGTATACACGGATATTGAGAAATTTGTAAAATATTTTGACGTGTTCAATGAATATTGTCATCTTGCGTTACAGGTGTTTTTTTTTTTTTTTGTTTTTGTGAAAAATCGGTTGTTTTTTTTTTTTGAATTATTATCGTGTCTAGCGGTGAAGTGGCCCGTTGTGGTCGTTGTTACGAAATCAACAACTTTTATGCAACAATTTGACGGTGTTTTAGCAATATTATATTAAATCTCCCTGTTGCTTGAGAAATATGTTTAGTCATGTCGTTTAAGTACACACACACACACACACACGCACACACGCGCATTTCCATCATTAGTCTGTGGACATTTTTTAATCCGACTACTCACTGTATAGTACAGGTATAGGTTGACTGTAGAAAGACAGGTTTCGACTAAATAGTCACGAAGTACAATATTGTTTTGATGTGTACATGACGTGTACCGCACACTTTGACGGCGGTGTATTAATGAGACTGATATTGCGTTGAACGAGAATACAGTAGACAAAAACATGAATGAATGCGAATAAATGAGAGAACCGTCCGTTCGGGAGAGTAGAATCGTGGATTTCTCATCCGCGATGAAATTGTATATACTCGTGTATTAGCCGATTGATATACGTCTCTTGCGAACCTTCCCCGGTAATTTCCGATTTACCGTGCCAATCGGATGCAAAAATCTCGAATAACTGCCCCGCACACAAATGGAAAAGTTCGTAAAAACGACCCGGTGTCCCGCGATGGAAAATTTATTTCACGAGTACACGATAAAACCTTAAGGACCCCACTTTTTCTGGTGTATTTTTATCGTTAAACGATATTTTTCTGTTGATACTCGTCCAAACGGATCCTTTTTTGCGGATCGCTTAAACGAGACTCGCGTATCGACAATCTACTCGTCCGTGATTGAAATATCATACATGGCGTAGATTGCGCGTCGACGGCGTTATCACGTGTTCGGAAATGGCGAACATTACGCTATAATGTATTCCCTTACCGAGATGTTAATGGTTTTCAGAAAATTGTTATGAGATTTTCTCTGATTCAGTTTGAAATATTACCAACGTTGCACAACAAAATGTTTGTATAGACATTTTCATTATCAAAAAAAAAAAAAAAAATGTATTTATTATTCTGTGCGTCGATTTTTTTTACAATAATTTATATACATATAAATATTATAATAACTATTGTACAATGGGACGTTTGATCGAACGCGATTACATGTTGCCAGGTTAGGAATTATAAAGCTAAGAATCATCTAGAAATATTTTTTTCATCAAAGACATTAATTTACGAATAAATAATCATTTTACTTTTTTCACAGCAAGTAGTTGATGATATTATTGAACACATTGCTGGCTTCATTGTTCGTAAATTAGCAATTGAACTAATTTGTGATGATTGTACAAATGTTTTAACTCGAACCCATTCTGAATCTGGATCGTTAATCACCATAAATAACCGAGGTGGATAAACTATTCAATAGTGAATACATAATTTATTATACAAGGTTTACGAGCGTTAAGCGTTAAATTATTGCATAGGCAAATTATTATTTTTTTTTTTTTTTTACGTTGATAATACCCCTAAATACAAAAATTTATTGTACTTTTATCGTTATCAATTTTCTGATAACTACTCTGTATCCTCCCTTGCGCCGCCATTTTAATTGCGCAGCCGTTATCGCGTCCTCAAATGCGATTACCAATGATATTTGAACGTAATCGCGGGGATAGCCGAAGACTCGCTACGGTGTAATGTTATCGTAAAACCGATGATAAAGGAGCGGTAGCATAGGTATACAATATCGGTAGAAAATAACGCCGGGCGTGGGCCTTTGACATCATCGTCGAGGGTTCTCTCCGAGTCTTGCGGTGCGTTTCCGGAGCTGTTCGTATAAATAATATTATCATTACGATTGTGTGGCCCGACGACGACGATAATTTATATTGTTATCCGACTTCGAGCGCGTTTCACGGTCGCCGAAAGAGGCGGGCTAGACGGACGGAAGGGGATCGATTGTTCAGGACGGCGCGGTGCGCGATCGCGTTTCCCGCGCCAAAACGCGACTGTAAGGTAATAATTGTACACCTACGCATACTTATATTATCATGGTGGCCACCGTCGCAAGGAGTTACGAATAATCGACCGGACGCGTTTTTGCCGGCGCTCCCTAGGGACGCACAAGCTTTAAGACCTGTAGGAACAGGCCGGTCGAAAAGACAGGCGGCCGAGACAGAACGAGAATGGAGACGAGATAGGCCACATAGAGGGATTCGCCGTTTTATCTTCGACTTCTTCTTCTGCTGCTGCTGCTGCTGCTGCTGAAGCTGCTGTAATATTCTGCTCTTTACGGATCATTTACGTCCGCCGAAGCAGACAGCTCCGTGCACGGCGATAAGTCTAGAGCTTGGGTTTTTAACGCACTTAAAATCCACAAAAAAGCGATAAAAAAAACCAGTAAAAAAAAGGTACCTAGTATTATATTTTTAAAAGCCAATTTAAAATACAATTTTCGAACATTACAATAATTACGAACACAAGTTTTTAAATCAAATTGTAAGTATTTATAAAAATAGAAAATTGCATGTGTTAGATAATAGCATTTAATGGTTAGGTGGTTGGGAGTGACCATTTCAAACTCCTCTAGGTCCTCTATAATTTTCGGTTTTAAAAATTTTTTTTCAGAGCTCTTTTGACGTTTTTAAGCCGTTTTCTGTGGATTTTAAATACATAAAGTCTCGAGCACTAGTTTAGAAATAGCATAATATATCTTTCGGAGACCAGGCCGACAGGGTGGACTCGGACTATTATAATGATATTGTGTTTGCAGAGTCGTTTCCTATTGCTGGATTTTTGTTCTGATCTGGTACATATTCGCGGCCGTCGACGTCACTTTTGGACACGAAAACTAAAAATGCGTATTAAACGTCCGATTTGAAAACGTCGAAATCCGTCACCCGCGTCCGAGGACTCTCTCGGAGCGCGAAGACGGCGACGCGCGACGTCGCCACCGGCCCACGCGCTTTCTAAACGCCACATGCCTGCGCGCGCGCGTTCACATCATTAAAATCGTATTTGCGAGCCGACGATCACGGCATTATTATATTATTTTACCCGTGATGCCGATATACAGCAGCTCATTTACCGGTAGGTAGGTAACTATACAGGGTGATTCTTTTGTGACGAACCGAAAATGTTCTCGGAGGATTTCAAGTGACTTTGATTTCTGTTTTTTTTTTTATCATTATGATGGAATAGTTTAATCTTTATTTTACCGCCGTTTTCAAGTTGTTTACCCCTATTTCAGGATACCCGAAACGATTGTCCACTTTGGATTTCTAAATGGAAACCCCGCCTCACCTGTTTTCAATCGCAGTTTCAAATAGAGCATATTTATCTGGACGTTTCAAACGCTCATAACACTACAGTGTCAGATTTACCATATATTATGAGTTATAACGGTTTAGAGTGTAGACCGGAGGCGTATGAAATCGGGGGTACCTAATAAACTGCATATACCTATCACTAGCCGGTAGGTGATAGTATCATGATAAAATAATCACCCTGTATATATATATATACAATACATTTTATACTCTGCGTCCGTCGCGGTCGGTGATTTTCGAGCTCGTACGGCATGAAAGTTCGGCTGACCGACCGCGTGTCCTGTATATACGTATAATACGTATTTAGGTTAAGTCGTCTATATGCGCGCATTGTCATCGTGTTATTATCGTATGCGGAATCGGTGTGTGCGGTCGTTTTCGAGAGTCGTGTAATAACAAGTACAATGTATAAATGTCATTTCAACGGTGGCGATTTACGGGCTTTTTCTATTATTGTTTATATATATTTTTTTTTTTTTCGACGGGAAATTCGTTTGATCCCGGTCCGTCGGTATAATGGTTTCCCCTCCCTCCCTAGGATCGCGTACTAAACTGACGGCGACCGGGCGCGGCGTCGGATTTTTAAATTCGAATTACAATGTATCGATTTCATCGCCTTTTTTACTATAGGTTTTCACGGTGTCTTTTTGTTTTATTGCTTGTACCCGATAATTCCTACTACGGTTCGTATACGCTGTACCAACGGGTCTCGATCACGTCGCGTCATCTGTTTACGAAACAAACGACGCGGTACATTACGCGTTTTGAATTTTTGACCGTCGTTATGATATTCCATTGGACGGTGTTCATTATTATTTCGTATTTCGTGTCCCGCGCGTCAAAATAGTAGGACACGTTGGGTCGAAAAACGCATCACACGTACGTTTTTCTTCGAGCACCGTACACGGCCACGGGCGGCGTTCGACGACGTGTGGAGAATCGTACGAAATCGGACGTAAAAAAAAAAAAAATAAAAAAAAATATTCCTATATATTAATTTCACACCTCACCTATATACGCTCGAAATAAAACGCGTGTATACGTACTTATTTTTCGATAACAGCGACACCGCGAGGGGGCGTATATTCTTTTCGAAACGATCGAAAAACAAGCGGTGTTTTTTTTTTTTATAACTTTAATATTATATCAATTATCGACGGTGTTAACAATTCAGTATGGCTACCGCGAACCGCCGTCGTTTGTTTTGACGAACGAACGGAGAGTACAGCAGGAGAGATGATCAGAAACGAGGAAGGGGGGGAACGAGCAGCGGGCTCGAATGGCGAGAATAACGTTAAAGAAAGCCGAAAAGAAGAATAATGTGATGATGATTGGTATCGTATCGAAACCGCCAGACAAATTTTGCGTGTTCTTCGCGTGTGCATAACCCACTTATGTACATATTTGTACATATTTGATTGTGTTTTTTATACGAATACGAACGTTTCCGCAATGCTAAATATACAATTCAGTGACTTGTGTAAACGCACTTATAATTGTCAACAGTAAAAATGTTTGGTGGTGATTTTTTTTTTTTTAACAAATTTGAACATATATACGCGTGATTAGCGTGGCATCATAACATGTGATCGAAATCCTTATCAGGTTCTTGTATGATTGGATCCAAACTAATAAAAATGTACACATAAATGTGAGGCAGAGTGACTTTAACCCTTATTTTCTGCATTTCGATTACTTAGATATTAACTGTATTGTTGAAAACCTTATTTGATCGAATCTCATTAAATTTTAATGTTAGTTTGAATTAACATTTGTTCAAATGTTCATATTAAAATATGGGAATTTAAAACAATGAGTGTTTTTAATGTGACTATGTTATTAATTAGTTGTTCGGATCCAAACGAAGTTTTTTTGTAAATGCCACAGCGATAACAATAATAATGATAACTTCAAAATAAATATATTGTTTGGGTACGGAGTAAACGGAGAATATTATTATTATTATTATTATTACACGTGATGATGAATGATTTTGTTAAATTAAGACATAAATACTAATAACGAAATCGAGTTACATATTTTCATCAAAAGGATCTGACGGTTTGTCTAGTCTAGTGAAAACGAAAAAAAAAAAAAAAAAAAAAACGTGAACAAATCCATTATAATTTATTATGACGAATCAATTGTCTTTTGACATCGGTTATATATAGACGTTGGTGATTCGATGATGGACGACAGTCTGAACTGCAGGAATGTTCGTGAGGCATTCCCGAAGATTATAATTTTATTACGGACGTTTCACAAACATCCGACAAGAAAACGTCGCCGCCGTCGTTCTTAAAAAAAAAAAAAAAAAAAAAACCAGTATCGATTTATTTGTACCGTGCACAATAAGTGCATTGTGCACCACAGACGAGCGAGATGTGTGCGAAGTCTGGGTCGCCGTCGTCTTCGAATTCTCCGCCGCGAAATCCGTTCCGGATGATATCATTGAGGACTTTCCAGCGCGAAATTCGTAATCCGTCGACAACAATAATCGCGATTTTCGATAATCTGTTACGCTTCGGATTAATTATTATAATGCAATTTTAAAATACGGACATACTTCGCACGTGGGTGGGCTAACGTTGGTAGATGAAAAGTTGGAAATGTAGAGGGGAAATTTAATGTACATCCGTATATACGCAACGATTACCTGTTGCCAACGAAAAACGATTCTGATCGGAGTAAGATTTAGCGGTTAATAGTGTTGCTTTGTCAACAATATGTGTGCATTATATTATATTGTCTTTAATAGTATTTCTACTTTCCCGGTTATTTTCATTTATCGGGAAAACTCTCGAGAAAATCAAAAATGACCTCAATATACTGTCACTCCAGGAAAATTCCGTCGCACAAAAGGTCCTATATTTCGGGTAAAATGTTTGTACACATTATACGAAATTAAACAAACACGTTTGCGAAAACCAATACGTTCTTCGTTACGCTCGGGATCTAAGGAAAAATTGAAATTATAATTAATAAATTCGGCGTTTGCGCAGGTAAAAACGCTGAACACCGCGACGGAAAAAACGGTAAATGTCCGAACATGATAATATAACCGCAATGATCGCAGTATATACGCAAACGGTAAACGCCGACAGTGATCGAAATCTTTTATGAGAAAAAAAAAGAAAAAACTTCGAATTTTGGTAGCGGGACCGGCGTGCGTATAATACATAATATTATTATAAAACGGATTACTCGTAAAATTATTTATTTTAAACATATTATTATTATGCGCGCGTTCGAGTGTGATATAACGTGTAGGATAAACGCATAATATTTGTGTTTGTGTAATCGAAATGCAATATTAATATTTATTACGATACGGGCGCTTGTATTATTTTCCGATAGTTGCGTCACGCGGAATGACGAGGAAGAGAGCGATAAAAAAAAAAATGTAGGACATAGTGTCGCCGGGGAAAAAAAAAATATACAATTTTATACGAAATCGTCTCCGATAATAAACACATATTACCGTACACGCCCCTTCGCCGCTCGTGTATGTTGTTTTAGTTCGCGTCCGAACGATTCCGTCGCCCCGTATTCGGAAACGATAAATCTATCGTCAATACCGTACAGTATGTACAATATCATAGTTAGCTATCTAGTTTTTACCAAACGGATCCCGTGAAGATTTTTTATTATTATTATTATTTGTTTTTTTTCTTTTACAGAATTACGACCGTTTAGACCGTTAGAAGAACTCTGTGCGCTTTTGACACCGTATACGGTTTTTGCCGTAATAATAATATAATAGTTGGTATCAAACGGTATTACCAGTATTTCCGGTAACGTACGATAGGACATGCCGCCACTGTTGCTACTGCTGCTGCTGCTGCTGCTGCTATACGCTGTTGTAAATGACGAACGATATGGACAAGTAACGATATCAATGAAGAGATAATCCGCAGCTAATGCACAGCACGTATTATACTCGTAATACTATAATAATATTATTGTATTGTTTCGTTACACAAATGCAAAACGATATCCGAATGCGTGTACATCTCTGCAGAGTACTCGCAGCGTAATGTTTCGAAATTCGATAATATTTTCGTTTGGGATTTTTTTCAATATTTTACCGGCATATACGAGAGAAACGAAAAGAAAAAAGGTTTCTCAGCAATGGCTTCACAACAAAAACAAAAATCCGGACTTAAAGTTTGTAAAAGACTTTTTTTTTTTTTAGAAAAGGTAGATCAGCGAAACAACTGCACGTGCAACACTGCATTGGTGCAGATACGGTATCATATTATACCATCAATGAGATATGAGCTTACAAAATGTTACTTACTTTATAGTCAACGGTTTGTGCACACATTTAAAAATCGTTTTTCGAAAAAAATCTCGTGTTTATCCGTTTTATAGGATTATTAGGCATATTAGTGTTATTATTACAATGTCGCCGCAGTTTGGTACACAACGCCTATACTAATTAACAATGAATTATCCTTTTCGTTTGTATAAAATAATCAACAATTTTTTTATTCGCAGAAATTTCGAATGAAGTGTACGGCAAAAATTACAACGTTTTTGATCATTTTCGCGCGAATTCAATCATATAAATCGGAAAGTAACGGAAACGCATAATTTTATTTAGTTTTCTCTTAGTACGATATTCCTATTATATTTGCGGACAAATGAAATTTGATTTGAAACCCATTCGGTGTACTAAATAAAAAAAAATAATAATAACTGCCGAGATATTCTTACAAAATGCGAGTCTAAAGGAAAATCAACGAATAATATTAATTTTGTTAAGTTAAATTAATTTTAAACCAAGTGCATTAATCAACTAAGCGAGGTTAAATAAATATTTTAAAATGCAATTCATTTATGGACTCTTAAGTTGAGTTCATTTTTTGTAAAATTGGTATTGTCACAATGGAAATTCATTAAACGTCGAGTTTATGATTTTCGGAAAATAACGACGGTCGTGATAATGTACTCACGTTGAGTAAATATTAAAACAAACCCAGGATAAAGCCTAAAAAAATTAGGTATTCAAATAAAGATTGTAAATTTAATACTGTGCACAAATTAAAAGAAATTTTAATCGATTACCTACTTAACATTGTATAATTTGAAATCAAATATCGTTATTTTATTAAGTTCAAGTGTGCAAAATATATATACATAATTAAAAAAATAGTACAATTTTAAATGTCGCCCCTCATATAATATCCACGTATCAGAAATTAAAAAATCTATAATTCCGAAATAAGTTAGTCCGCTCAATTTTGACTATACCATCGTTATTAAATCGACAATAAGCATATGTGATATATTTTAAACCAAATTAAAAAATTTGTTTGAACCAATTATTAGATTTGTTTTACATAATTTATTTCTTAAACGATTATCGTCAGTATTTGATATTAAAATTTCTCTATAAAAAAAATTACTACATTAAGTTCGAATTTTCTTTTTGGCCACAAAAAACCTCCTCTTAAATGTTCTGCATTTCTGTTTGGTCTAACAATTTTACCACAGAGTACATATCGTATGTTAGGTTGAAATAAAAATTAGGTACAAAACTCGCAAAATTAAAATGTCTATAAATACCTCAAAAATGGCTCGAATATTTTGAAAATTTGTTCATGTCCAGGAAAAGCAAATATCAGATTTCTGTCCAAATTTCAAGTCTCTATGAATATTGAATCTCTATAACAAAAAAAGAAAAAGATTTAAAATAATAAAAAGCATTATTTTCGTAAATTGTCTCGTTTTTCTTATATTTTATCTCGGATTTTCCCAAATATTTTAAAAACCGCTTGAAAAATCGAAAAATGACCTTCTTAATTTACCAGACAATTGTGTCATGTTTACATGTCGAAGTATGATTTCTGGTAGAAATTGTTGTCACAGTAAATATATTTAAAAAAAAAAAATAAATATCATTGTAAAACAAATTCATTATTTTCTACATTCAGAATATAAAATCCAAGGCTAAAAGTTAATCCCGAAGAGACAAAGATAAAAGTGGAGGTCGACGTTCTCGAAGAGAATTTAAAGGAAAACGTGCTCATCCAAGACAAGGCCGCGGATAGACGGCGCTGATGTTTTTGGCGACGAAAAGGTAGTAAAAAAATAATGTAGGTAACGATAAACGCCAAAATTATGAACTTATGTACGACTATTTTACTCGTTAACCCGCGCGGCCGCGTCGGATCCACCGTATACGCATCTCATTCGCAATGTTCGCAAGCCTATATATTATTCCACTCGAATACAAAAATAATATTATACGCACAATATCGTAACTACGACATTTACTTGAGCGCGCGCGCGCATACGTTTAAATAGCATTTTTTAATTCCGTAATCTGTACCGCGTGGCCGCATGACTTATTATGGTAGTGCGCAATAATGTATAATGTTATATGGGTAATGTGTAATGCTGCAGTGGTTACCTATCGATGGAATAATAAAAATTGTCACGAATCGAGCACGAGAACTAATAATATTCGTTTCACGACGATGGCCGGTATATACATAGTATACGCGCATATTATACTATATAGGCTTATAATGTGATATATCGTATAGTCGGCAAATCGGACGGTAAAACGTACTGGTAAGCCATGGGTATATGATTTTCGCTGCCGGTGTAGAATATGAAAACGCGCAAAACCAACGCTGTCGCTACCGCCGCCGTGCAATCTCCTTGAATATTTGCATTATTAAAATAATAAAAAAACGAGGGCGACGATGACGATGGGGAAAAATGAAAGTGATCGTATTATGGAATTTCTCTCTCTCTCTGTCTCTGTCTCGATTGTGCAGGATATCCGTTACGGGAGCGTATATACCTATAATGCCCCCCCCCCCCGTACGTTTTATTAAAAGTTATCCGCAAGTCGCGTCGCGTATTATCCCGCAAAATGATAATTTCATAAACGTCTCGTATTATAAAAGAATGCGTATTCCATACAAACTGTTTATTATTTATTTTTTTTTGAACCGAGGTTGTTGACCGCCGAAATTCGATTCACGAGTACTATAAAACAATTTTAAAAAAGCGACAGTAACCCAGTAATATAATGATTATACTGGATTCAATCGCGACTCCTCCCGACTGCATCATAGCAACAATATTATGTTATCGTTATAATCGTTATAAAAAAGTTGTAAAAGATAGAAAAATACATAAAAAAAAAAAAAAAACTAGTAAAATTCCAATAAAATGTGCGTGCGTATAATACAATATATTTTATAGGCTTAAATTGTCAAGGTAATAAATAACGAGAATGCCGTCGATGTCGACGCGGGTTTCTCGGTTTCCACGTCGCGCGGTCCTATAACTTTCTATACCTTTAAACTTATTATTATTTGAAATCGCGCGGGCCGAGTGTACAGATTCGATAAACCATAGGACATCGGGTATTATTTTACGACATCGGTCTGTTTGTAAAATCGTTTGAAGGAAAGCCTATACGCGTTTCGTTCTCATTTCCGTTTTTCGAGTCTTCCGACCGGTATTTTACCGGACGGTACTGTTCTCCGTCTCGGCTCTGCGACTCTGCTCGCGAGATCAAGTCCGTTAAGCTTACAAACGCACGGTACAGCGATAATTTTCGTTCAGTGGAACGAATGGCGTGCTTTCGGTTATAATGTTACAACGAATTGACGAAACTCAAAGGTAACGATATTTATCTGCGTTTGCCCGATGGCTTTTTCCGATATTTTAATTTTCGAACGAGATACGAAGCGTTTTTAAATTGTAATATTTTACACGTTCGCATTTATCTCGTATGCAAATTTAATTAATAAACAAACAAAAACACCAACGCGTACAAACACAAATAATGTTCTTCCGTTTAATTTGATAATAGGTCAATTCGCACTATTACTTAAATTAATAGTCTCTGATTTTGGTTTATAAGACTGAGAGAACAAAACTCGAACGTAAACCGTCTTCTTAGTAACATAAGAACGTCGATTCCATTCTGGGGACATTTTTTTTCGGAAGTGGCTTTTTTTTGCACGCGCTTTTATCTGTGAGCCGCGGGTAAACTCGTCTGGAAAAATCGATGGTAATACCCTCGCCTTCGGAGCTATGGAGTTTCGCGTAGAATCTGGTCGGGGCTTCCGGCGCGCGTTTCCGCCAGATTTCCGACTTAACGAACGGATGTGGCCGCAATGAATTATGACGCACATTATGACGTATTATACGTAGTGTATGCATGGTACGTCATATGTATATTATTATTGTTGTAATATTTTTTATGCTCGTCAGCTCGTTCGCCGGAATTGAAACGCGATGTTTTGTGATACCATCGGCAGGTACCCATTTAATATTATTTCCCCTCCACGTCATAACACAAACACACACATACACATACACACACACGTGCGCGAGTGCGCGGACAATAATATCGAAATACGCGTATCGGAAAAAATATTATTTATAGTAAAAAAAAAATGAAAAAAAAAAATAAAAAAAAACAAAAATGAATTCCATGACTATTTCTGTTATTATATCGCTTGCAGTCTAGCGTATGCGCGCGCGTCTGTGTTTACGTATTGAAAAGTGAATACAATAATAATACGAGCCCGGAAGGAGGCCAGTGTGTCCGAAGTCTACATTCCGTCCGGCGGCGTTGCGGTGGCGGTCTTTCACCAGAGACAGTGTGTGTGTTTTTTTTTCATTTCTATTTCTCTCCGGTAAAAAAAAACAAAAACAAAAAAACCGAACCGTTTTGATCGGTTAGGCACGAGAACAAGGCAAAAAGGGCAAACATTTTATTGGCTTGTACAATATTATTCGTAAATTTATTGCAGTAAATCGCTTATATTTAACGTTTTTCACCCGTAAGCCTACTGAAAAAATATTACATAGGCAGCTGTGCGACCGACCGGTTTTATTAAAAGGCACAGGCTGTAACGGCCGTAATACGACGAGGGAATGCTAGAATAGAAGTCTCTGGGGAGAAGATATTTCACAGTGGATCCAGGAATAGGCGAATCGACGTTCTCGAAGAAGACCCAAGGAATATGGACACGTTGGAAAAGCGTGGCTGAAGATGGGGACAAAAAGGCGTGAGTGCGGTGTCGTTTTGGACGCGAAAACTCTTGGATAGGTATAAGAATAAGACGAAGCCGGCCGTTACAGTCTTCGCCAATAGTTCGTCGCCAACGTGAAATATTTGCAAAAAAAAATAAAATCCAAACACCGAGTAGTCCGTTCAATAAGACGTTACGACCCATATAGGTATATTATTATTACATAATATACTCGCATTGCAGGTACAGTCATTCTACAATGATTATGGCCGAGCTCGGAATTTTCATTGTTTCATATTAGAGTATATTATGTTATTTTTTCCTCCCGATCAATTTTATCTCGCATACGTGTCTATTATACGATAATTATTGACGTTAGAGACCTTGAACTTAATATTAAATAAAATACGCAAATACATGTCCCGTCGAGGGTTTAAATTATCGTCGAAATATGTCGTCCGAGCCGTTTCCGACAAGGATATTTAATGCCTAATATACCTAAATAAACAATCGATCAAATACCCGTGTAGTAATTAAATCATCGACGTACGCAGCAGTGAATTATCGTGTCGTATTATCCGTAATAAACGATCAAAATCAAACAATGCGACGCGTAAAAAATTAACGACTTTTTTTTTTTTTTTGCCACCTGCAACGAAATGGGTGACGGCGACGAACGACGATTAAACGTTATAACATCGCTCTATTATGTTCACATTGTCATCGAATTTAAGTGGGTGGGTTATTCGTTTGGTGCCCGCTTAAAGAAACGTCAAGTAGGACAGAACTGCGATTGAGGTATCTGGTATACCAAACGAGTTAGGTTGGCATTATAAAAACGCGCAAGTACTATAGATATCGAATAGATATACGGATAGGCCGTATTTAGTCGTCATCAGCTGTCTCGAAAATAACGATTCGAGGCGGCGTAATTTTTTTCTTCCGTGACAACAGTAATATTGTAAGACCTCGTCCTCTGTGACTCAGTAAATTTTTAGCTTTATTTACATTTTCCGCTAGTAACTTATTTATACCATATTATTACACTAAACAATTTAAACGACTATTTTAGTCACAAACCCCACGAGAAAAAGAAACTCACTGATAAATGGATTTCAAATACCTCCCATAAACCGCTCCTCTTAGAATATAAAAAAACACGGGAGTCACCTATAATATTAATATACTTTCAATATTCTGTATGGTAGATAAGTTCACGAATCATTCGCCGTAAGAATCGAGAACAACATTATTACTGTGAAAAATAGTGTCGACCAGTAGGTATACAAATTGAATACGTTATATCGTCGTCCTTTAAAATCCTAAAACGGGGCTGTGTTAGCTCTTTGGAAAGCACCAGAAAGTTTTGAAACTATGGGCATATTTTTGATTCCGAGGAAGAAGGGCTAAATTATAATTTTAATTTTGTCGGATTTAATTTGTTCCCCTTTATTTTTTTGCCTTGACTGGCTAAGAGTATGCATTTTCTACATGTAATTCAAAATCGACTTGAGCTCTTTTTCCCCGGGAGCCATAGATATTATATTGGCAAAGGGTGACACACGATTTCGGTTAAACTTTTTACCCGATTTTAAAATATGCAATTCTGAGCTATAAAATCGTTTACCTAGACCGGGCAAATAATAATCGAACGAGAGACTACTGCGACTGTACCGCAAACTTGCGGTAGATGTATTACATTATTTGATTCGGTGCTATATCATAAAATAAGCTCCGGGAGAATGAAAAAAAAAAAAAAAAAACTAAAATCAGTCACCATTCATAAAATAATAGAAACGTATTAAATTATTATTATTTATTGTAAGCGCTTCCTTTGGATATCTATCGGTCTCAAGAGTAGAAACTCGTGTGTAATTTAATTATCATATAATGGCCGCTATGAATCGCGTGACCATTTACGGTTTTCCGTTAACGTTGGCGATGATGATAATAATAATAACAACAATATTATCACTTTTGTATTATACGTTCATATAACGTACATAGATTTAAAGGTCCATCCAATAAGCTTTTGCTACGGAATTCATGTCGGCTATAATACGAGGCGATTTTTTTTTTTACCCGACGGTTTTCTCCGTCGTTAAAGATGACGGTTTTCTCCGTTGTTAAAGATGACGGAGATGACTCTATGTGTTGGTTCCGTCTTATAACCATACGCGACGTGGCAAATGTTCGTTCAACAGAAATAACTCGCTGTGCTGTTCGTTTTAACCTTAGAGTGAACTGGTCATTTTTTTTATACGTAAATTTTTTACGAACAATTACTTGTATTACGTTTCAGTGTTATTTTGTGTACCTATGTGTTACAGAAGTGTGGTACATTTTCATAAGATGACCAAAGAAACGCCAAATTCTAAAGGTATTTAACTACCCTTCAATCAATATGTGTGTAAATAGGTATATTTTTTAAATTAAACTGTAGCATTGTATTTCGGAAAACTATTTTTATTTTTACGTATTGGTGTATATTTATTAAACGGGTCATTTTAGCTCAGATATTTTTTTAAATTAATTTTTACAGAAATTGTATAGTATTTTTAGAGCAATAATATACAATCAATTTCAATCACTTTTTAACGCAATAAAGTTCGAGCCCTAATAATTACAACGAATGTGTACTACAGTACCAGCTGTTATGAAATAAACGCGAGTTACGGGCAATTTTAAATTCACATGGAAGACTACTGTATAAATACAAATAAAAAACAATGAGAATTATTTGTTTTTTTCAAATTTTACCGTACAAACTTCGCAAAAATCAAAATGTGTTTTCATTCCGTTGTAAACGCAATAACTGGAATAAATATTATTATTACGAATGATTCAATATTATAAAACAATATTTTGAGAAACGTATACATTTATATTTATTTATATATATATATATATCTGTTTTTTTTTCGTTATATTATTATCAATAATAGAAAATAACACGAGTTTCGGTGAGAACATATTTCTTCGTGGTGTTTATTAGGTATTTTGTTGTGTTTATAAATTGCGCGTTATACGTTTATGGGTGTATAATGTATAATATACAGGTGTAATAGGTATGTAAAAAAAAAAAATTAAAAAAAAAACGTGTGCCCGATCAATAGTCGACCGGAACGGTTTTTACTATACATTTTTTCATCGTAAAATCGTTATGCATTTCGACTCGTAAACCGTATTTTATTATTATCACTCTCCGCGTTCTCCTATTTACAAATACATACTGCAGTTACACGGGGCCGGTTTTTAATAGACGAAAATCGAAAAATATAATGCACTATACATTCATACAGACTTATAATAAATGGTTAGTAATATATATTGAATACACCTGCAACGTGTTATTATGTGCGAGCGAGACAGACTCGCACATAAGTAAAATATAGTATATGGGGATAAGAAAGAGAGAGAGAGAGAGAGAGAGATAGAGAGAGAGTTATCACTAAGGCTCGTAACTTGTGGCTCTAAAAAATGTTTGTTAAAAGTGCAATGATACGCTCTTAAAAACATTCGTAAAAGCGCTTAAATGTGCACTGAAAACGTGGAAATATGTCGAAAAGTTTATTTAGTAACTTCTATAACGTACAACAGTCGTATTTCCAAATCATTTGATATTGTTTATAATTTAACAATTCGATTATTCTGAATAAGTTTAACTATTATTCTTTGGTGTAAAAAAAAATAAGTAACCATTACAATGATTTAAATATTACATTTATTTTCGGTATTTTAGAACCTCTTTCAAAACTTTAGTTTTAAATGGATTTTAGCTTTACGCATGTATCCACTTTCACAACCACTGTTTGGTTTTAGTCTAATTAAATACATATTTTATCCGTAACTTAAATCGAAGCCGGATTTGGCGTTTACATAAATTAATATGCGCTTTAAAACTCGTCACAAGTTCGAACAAACGTTATCGATTCGTAACTCAATGATTATCGAACGGATCAAAATTATAAAATACACTCTGTTTCTATCGCATATTATTATCAGTATGTCGGATTCAACATGGCACCGTAAACGTAATGTGAAAATTCAACTCGAAATCAACAACAGGTAATACTATTATAATGAAATAATCCGTTTTGGGTCGCGGTTTAGTACTTTTTTTTTTTTTTATTCGTTTTTTAATTGGTCGTTAATTATTACCGCTTCGTCAAGGCTCGCCGCGTGCGCCTGTCGAAGGACCTTCCGAATTTGCAGCGACAATCGTTTATTAAAAGCACGCGAATATAATATATGGGAGATAGGTACGCATAAAACGCGACAATGACAATACACGCGTTATAATGCGGTCGGGTTTTTATTTATTTATTTTTTTTAGTTTTCGATAACGCGTCTACCGGTCGTACTTGTACAAAAAAAGTCACCGGCCGTGGGTACTTGGCTGCGGGTGCTCTGGAGACTGTCGCTCGCAATGCGCTCGTTTGATTGTTTTTCGACAAGGAAATCGCATAATACGATTTACAACCCTCTCTCGGATTTATCGGTTTATTACATTAAACTTGTACTTGAACCAAGTGGTAGAAGAAAAAAAAACCAGTCCGACGTAGGTGCGACACTGCCGCGTCGGTCGATAATGGGATTCAAAAAAAAAATAAAAATAATAATAAAAATAATAAAAACAATAATATTGATCTTAAAACACGGTCGAGTTTCGTTATAATATATAGGTAGGCACTCGGGGATTTGGTTCGGTCTGCGCAAAAACAGTATAATAATAATATGTATACACATTCATATTATTATAACTACGTATATAATCGGAAATTACTGTAAATTCTCAAAAAAAAAAACAAAACAAAAACAAAAAACTGAAAAAATTTTATACTGTTGCGAAATTTCAATTGTTATCATCGGGAATAATAAAATACTTAAAAAATAAAAAATACCGTCCAAGGGCGTCCTTAATTACTCGTATTACGTATATAGAGGTCGATTTGGCGTGCTTTATTTTACATTATTTGTATAACCTTCGAATTATTGTTCAGTGTAATAAATAATATATTCAAATACGATTAATGTGTATTCTATTCTATATCGGGAACAAATGTATACAATCTTTAAAACATTAATTACAGTTAAAAAAAAATCAAAACAAAACAAAACCATTATGCGATTTTAAACTGTACGATACATAATCATTGAAAACGAACAAATATCTGATTCGCGAAGTGAAAACAAACGCAATACAATCCAAGTAGATAACTTATTATGTATTTTTATATTCTTCCCCGAGAAATAATTAAAAATACACTCTGCACAATAAATCGTTGATATCAAAAAGTCAACTATTCTGAACGAAGCTCGGTAAAATATTATAGTCTATATTGGTGGCGAGTTTCTTCCCTTGTTACAAAATAAGGTTATCCAAAAATAAAACCAATGTATATACGACACTGGGGCGGTTTTTTTTTATAATAGAAATGGCCAGAGTTAACAGTATAGCTGCTTCACAAGAGAAACAAAAAAAATATGCTCTAGGCCTTTACAATTTACCGCTTACGTTTATTCGGGCCCCTTTTTCTTATTGACATACGAACGAAGTAAAAGAAAATACAATCTTTATACGTGTAGTTAAACGCATTTTATAATATTTCGGTCACAAACCTTTATACATTTGTAAATAGTCTACAGACATTTCGTTCATTAGACGTGGCATGAAGCTTTACACACGATTGATGTGTAAACCGAAAGTGGCGAAATTGACTAAAGCCTTTTCTCATAAAAACTGTCCGCCGCTTCGTTGCCGGCTGTTTAAATTTCTTAGAAAAACTATTGACAATCGGTAAAAAGCTATATCAAATAAAACTGCCACCGCTGACGAAAAAGCCAAATTTTTTAATGGACGACGCGAACAATTCGGAGCGCTATTATTAGGTACTAAACGAAAAAGTGTTTATCGTAGTAAAACTAGTTGCACTCGGAATCTAAATGATATGTAATCCTGGAACGAAATATACGACCGAACGACGAAATCTACTATATTACACCAGTTTATTTTTTTTATCAATTTCGATTTTGGCGTAATTTCCTACCGCGAAACACGAATATTATGAACAATTCGGTTCGGCAATATAATAATATTAAACGCGAAAAATATGTATATCAGTAGGTAGACGAGAAAATAATACGCATTAATAATATCAATAATAATGCAAAAATCTTATTACGTCAAATACGTACAGACATGCACGGGTACGTGTTGGATACGAAAACGAGATTAAATATATAATAGCAACCGTTCGCGGGTTTAATTTTTTTTTAACGAAACGATAGAAATATTACAAATCCGGAACGCGTCTCACGGCAACAGATTGTCGATGAATTTATCTAATATTGTAATCGATGTCGGTCGAACGGGGAAACATTTCTAAAGGGGAAGGAGGGGGGGGGTTATATTAACTAACTTAACCAAACTTTCGGGAAACGCATCACGGACACGAGACGAGAAACGATTTTTCTTCCGGGCTCGTTTTTTCGCGAAAACGTTGCGCTACTATGTGGGGAAACAAAAACGAACCGCATCCCCCGTCCCCGAAATATAATTGTTCTACCGGTCATAACATTACGCCCGTTCGGTGTAAGAACGGAGTCCGATCATGACGTATAATCCTGCAATAGCCGCTATTGAATATTCGAATATATTTTTTATTTTTTTTAAGTAATTCGAGTTTTTAAACATTCCGTTAAAAACGCCGGTCGGCGACGACAATAGCTAGTATTCTGTCGTATGCCGTTACAGCGTCACCCCGCGGACTTTGATGACTTCGGACTAAAGGATATAGTCTTACCTTTCGACGAGTAGGGGAAATCCGTCCGTCTCCGTTCTCCCCGCCACCCCCGCACCGCTTTGACCGTATACGCGGTAATAATATCGAAAACCGACGACGGCGGCGACGGCCGTTTCACTGGTCAGTGACTTCGCGGGTTCGCGTCGCAAACGAAAAACGATACACTGCAGGTCGGGGCTGCGCTGTGAAAATCGAGGCGAGAAAATATTATTATTAGTATCGAGACCCGCGCGCCGTATAATCGCGAAACCGCAACCGACCGGAATTGAACACGTTTTGGACGGTCGGTTTACTGTCGTGCGTTACCCCCCTTCCCCCCATCGCCCCTCGGTTTGCGGTTAACGAATATAAAACGAGAATTTAATACGATAATGCGCGCGTATTTCGACCGGGTCGGTTAAACGTCGACGTGCATTATAACATGCTGGTATATACAATATGTAGCGAGGTATTGTATCGGGTTTTGCGTTTAATTTTTTATTTAATTTTTTTCCATCGCGGAAAAAAAAACAGTTTTTTCTTACCGCGGATACATTGTTATTAGGTGTGCAACTGAGGAAACCCGCCCCGTGCTCGCTAACACCCGTGTACGGAAAACAATTTCTGAGGCGGTGATTCATAAAGGCGCCTTTAAAAACTTTGAAATCCGAAAATTTGGATAATCCGGACGGCCGATGTCTGAGGTTCCGAAATTTCTAAATCCGTAAAAATCCGAACAAAACTAAAAATATCCGTCAATACGTATGTGTTTTATTTATGTATTTGGATTTCAATTTACGGACTATAGTTTGTCTACGAAGCATACGCATAGCGTTCACGTGTCGAACGTCTTATTACGCCCTGTTTACGTGCGCGTCGACCGCGAGCCATATCGCACCGAAAGGCCTAAAATTATCGTACCAAAATTTATATACGTATAGGTAAACTATCGAAATTTATTTTGCTGTTATTGTTGTTTTACTATTATTATTTTGGCCTAGAAAATCGTCTGACGATGGAAATTTGTCACGCACGTAAATCGCGATCGCAAACACGCGCGCACGTTTTCGCGCGAGACAATAAAGCGGCGACGGCGGCTGTGTTCCCCAAAGATTCTATGTAATTTTTATTATTATTATTATTATTATTATTTTTTTTTTTTATAATAATTTATCGCCGTCGCCGTCGCTTTGTTACCGTTTGGCCATATTATATACGTATATCATGTTTCGTTTGGGTCGTCATGTAACCCAGAAAAATTATTCAGTGTCGTACCATTACCAGTGTCTTACATGTTACATTGTAATAACAACGGTTGGTATTATGGGCACTTTTGTGTGTCGTAACATCGCTAGGCAATGAGTTATTGCTATATATGTTACGGTCGATGTTGGCAATTTAATAGTGTCGTTTGTACGCTGCGAGTGTTTCGCGATATTTACATTTTTCACTTGCTCGTATTTCGTTTAAAAATTAAGACGTTGTTACTTTTGAGTTGGATAATGTAAGCGAGTTCACTCAAATATTAGAAATATACAAAACGAAATCGGTTCTACGGAAAGAAAAGTCGACACTATTCAATGTATAACGTTGGCCGCGACGTGTTATACTATCGTTATCGTCGTTTTCCTTCCGCAAAGCCTACAGGTTTACACGGTGATAGTGTTGTTATCGCGATATCATTGCCGTGATGGTAATACTGTGCCGTGTCAACCATCGTTGGGCGAACGAGGCGATACAGCAGTGGCCAGTGAATTATCACGAAAGCGTCATAATCGATACAGCTACCGTCTTGAAAGCGATGGTGTATAATTTTTAGCACAGTGTGGACACGCGCGCCGTATCGTTGTAATCGCCGCGGCATTTTCACTGTACTATTAAAATCGTCTTCGGAGCGACATGTCCGGGAGAACGGGTCGTCAGGGATGATATCCGTATCGTCTACGTTGGCTTTTTAACGCAGCAACTATGAGCGTTTCCCTATCTAGTCATTCAATCTCGAAATTAAACACGTGTACAATATATTTCAACTGTAAGTGCTACAGTCGATTTTGTCGATTGAAAATTGGTTTTTCGGAACCGGCTTTTAAATTCCCGCTGACCAGTGGGGCGCAAATGAAGATTCTACGATTCGTTTACGATGAATATTTGCTACGTCCGTTGCCGGCGGAAACGGTCGGTCGCCACGTCACTGCGTGCGTCTTCTACTACACCCATGCGTATCAACGCGTGGACGCTATCGCGTAACATCCGCGGTGTAGCGGACGGCCATCGCCTAGTGGACCGGGCCGATTAAAAAGATCGCGTCTCTCACGCACAGGTGTACGTAGCTGAAAAAAAACAACATAATAACCGATACGCGTAGTAGTGTACAAGTGTTAAGTGGGCAAGCGGACGATATTCGCGATCACGAACGCGGTCGACGGTCGATAATAATAATTCCGGCCGATCGAATTTGTGTTATTATTATTTTTTTTTTCCCCACCCAAATGGGTATTATACTCGTCGTGTTATTACGGCGTGCTCGTCTATTATTATATATATATGGTTAGGTACGTGTGTGTGTGTCGTCGTCGTCGCGGGCGTTTTCGGCGCGAACAGAAAGGGAAAACGGCGTCCGAAAATGGCGATCCGCACAGACGACTCTGATATATACGTGTATATAAATTATACACACGAGAACCCGTCTCGGGCGAAAGCAAAAACGCTTTGTCGTGCTACAGGCATTGTGTGTACGTTTTACACAGACCAGTTTGTTTTCGTGTTATTATAATTACACCGACCGATTTTTTTCGGGGATGTGTTCGAAAGTCAAGGCCGCGGCGATCGAGACATCGCGCAGTCTTTTTTTTTTATTATTATTATTATTCGCCGACGCCGCCCGCCGTCGGGTTGTAGTCGTTTTTCATTTTTTTTTTTTTTTTTTTTTTCTGTACTGGTGCCCTCGGGAAACGCATATTGTTGCGCCACGAGACCGGGACGAAGGAAAGCGGAGTACATAATATAGGTATACTACGAGAAACAAATTCCCCGTCGAAGCAGTATCACGTCGTGTCGTGATAATATGTATTATTAATCACGATGTATATTGCCGCGGGCACGGTGCATCCGAATCGCATGTCAAAAAGTATATTATAGAAAAATCATAATAAAAAAGAGCTGATATACCGTTTTCTCGGTGGAAGTGCCACTGTTGTAGGCGGAAAGTCTGGAACTACTACAAGGAAAATAAAAAAAATTGTCCTCAGTGCAAAAACTAGACAAAATTTGCTTTCAGCAAAGACGTTATAGTGTACAGACGGTTAACAGATATAAAAACCACACACGCACATCATAGTAAAACCAATAAATTCCTCGTTGTGCTCTGAATCTGAATTATTTAACTGTACACGCAGATGTATTGGGACCGACGCATAATTGCGGAGCGATTGAAAAATGTTAATTTATAAAATATCGTATTCTTTTGCCAAAATATGTATACCTACTTAAAGTAATGTATACAGTACGTGTTAAAATGTAGGTATACTTATTGGTAGTATTGTAGCGTGACGTGCCAAACATTTTTTTATTTCATTTTTTTTTTTAGTTTAAAATAATAATAATAATAATATGTAACAGTTTTATAACCGGCAGCGCACACCGGTAGTGAAATTATGTCGCCCGTGCAATCGGTTATAGGACTGCAAAACGTCCCGGTAGAAGGAACGCAGTCGTCGTGCGCGCGGTGTTAGTCGTATTTCGCTGTAGATTTTAGATTCGTAATTAAAATAATAACGATATTTACAATTCGTTCGCATATTCTGTCGTTCGGGTGTAGATTTCTGTACCCGGAATGGCGCTTGGAATCCACGGACACTTGACAATTTATTCTTTTTGTTTTTTGGCATGCGATTCGGTTACCATATAGTGCACATTCTGTATAATAATAGTAGCACAGGTAATGACAATATTCTCGGGCTACCGCGAGACCCGTGAGAACGTTGTCGTCAACCCGGATACTCGACGGACGGAATACCAAAGTGGACGGGCTCTAAGCAAATAGAACAAAATCAATACCCGCACCCGTTCAAATTATAATCCATAAAAAGTATGTGTGTAATCTCACGACGCCACTGTAGACGCGCCACTGGATGTTGTGTCATCGAGGTTAGCCGTCCGTATCGGAGACGTGTCCACGTATCACGCAATTCGCAAGTATTTTCAATAAATATAAAATCCCAAAATTAAAAAGACTTGTGCAAGAAATGATTCCGCTCTATTCTTCTTGGCAATCGCATTTCTGCGGTTTAACGATTCTTGATAGGGGAAATTCGTGTCGTATTTTCTGGACATCGATTATAACGTGATTCAACAAAATTCGGAAAAATTCCGTTTAAAAAAAAAAAAGAGCTGACACTGGGGATGGGACTGTGGTAGATATTATAGATATTATAGATAAGAAATTGAAAAGGTAGGATATATAAGATTATTTCATTTATAACTGTAAGCAATGATAAACTATTGCTTGACGAAAGACGGTTCCGAGTACAGTTCGGTAATACATAATTTGAAGTGCCGTAATTTTTTTTGCAATTTTCGTTTAAATTTGATTTCTAGACGCTTATTAAAAAAAAAAAAGTCGTCTGATGGTTTTTCTAAATTTTAACATGTTTAGGTTAGTCGAATATAAGTATTATTACCGAGTTTCAAATCTCTACGTGTATTTATAACCGAATTACAGCAAAAAACTTCCAAAATTTAAAACTGCTTAAAAGTTCAAACCTTTCGTGTCCGTGTAGCAGCATACCGGTTCGACTATGGGAAAATCATTCACCGCTATCTGTAGATGCCGATCATCCAGGAAGAAATCAAGAAGTTTGCCAACGAACATGCGAATACACTAGAGCTGCACTCCAATGCAGCTGCTAAATGACTTTTGATGACGACTCGCGAGTGATTAGAACCCACGCGAAATCGGACCCGTACGATTTATTCCAAGTGAGTCGAACCGAGGATCGGGGCCACCTCATTGTCGGTACGGTCCCAAACATGTTAACGCATTCATATTATGTATACATAAATGTATATTAATTATTATTCGTGTATTGTTTAATATTTATACGCCCGTCATGCGTTGTATTTATAAAGACTGTTCTTGACCAAGGCGGTTGACTAGAAAAACCGAAAAATTGATTTCGAATGTTTTTGAATGAATTGAACCCGAGTAACACCGAGCAGTTCGGCTAGTAACAACATAACGATATTATCGTGTATCACTCACCATCGACATAATAATATGACACTTGGAACATTGAAAATATCATTGTCAAACGTCTGCCGGGCTGTACGGATGACGGCTACGGTATACGTAGACATGGTAGGTATATAATTTCGTAACAACGCTGGTCGAGAACCGGTCAACGGGCTGTCGACCGTTGCAAACGCGACACAATGTGGTGTTTTTTTATTCGAGTCCGTTGTAATCTGCACGAACGGGTCGACGGAGTAATGTAATACGACGACGTGTTGCGTAGGCGACGGCACGACTTTTCGCACCTTAAACGTCCGACGAAAATAATAAAAAAAAATAATAGTAATATTAAAACCGTGATAATAATATAATATTATCACCGCACTCGTGGCGCTCGATTTCAGTAAGCGCACATAATAATATCGTACGCGGGGAACAATGGACGCGCGGTGATCCGTACCTGTAGCAAATAATTCGAAAAAAAAAAAATAAACGTTTCATCGCCGTGAAGAAATATTGCGACAAAACCGATCGGAATGTACGATTTTCGGGGAACGTCACCGCAAAAAATGGTTATGCAAAGGGGCGTGCGAACGAGCTCGAGTCTTAAAACAACCTCAATTTTACAGGGTGGGGGCGGGGAAACGCCTGTTCGATTTAGCAAATATATAAATGATGATTCGAATACCCGCGGAGTCTTATTTTTAACGTCGCACGTCCGGAGTATTTTTTTTTTTTCACCGTTATCCTGCATTATCCGTATTGATTTTTATGGCTTTTTCACCGCACCGAGGGCGAATTTCACTCGGGACTTAGGAAACAATGTATCTATTCATTGCTGCATATTATCCCGAACTATTTCCTTCTGCAGTAGACGTAGCGCATAATTATTGTAATGTTTATAACCAGAAAATGGTTAAATTTACACTTTTTGCATCAACGCGAGATGTTAAAAAAAAAAAAATGACCGTTTTCCGAAATACCACAAGTGTAATTTTTCATCTCCAATTGAAAACGACGAACGATGAAAAGTGTCGGTTTCACCATTATATATATGCATAAATAATACGGTCACTCGTTATAATTTTATTATGTCTCATTGGGTTTCAAACGGTGGCAGTCATCGTATATCATATTTGTATGCACAAAAAGAACAAGCGGCCGCACGGCACGGCTTGGCGGCGTCAAGACAGCACGCGATTTTTTTTTCGCCTCTATAGTCGGTAAATTTTATTATTTTTTAAATTATTTTTACCTCAAGTTACATTCCGATAGTCTGGATTCTCCATATCGGGTATCATCGCTGCAAGGGGGAGGCAAAAAATAAAAATAAAAAAAACCATAGCTATCTATAATTCCGTCAATATTTTTACGACACTTTACTGCAGCAGCTCTCCGGCTATAGAAATCCGCATAAAAACGGCCGACACACGATAATAATAATACTAGTTTATATTTGTTCTTCCATATATATATATATATATATTTTATTTTTTATTTTTTATCACTCGACGGCAGCGTGGAAACTCTTTTTTATATACCACGCGATCTGCAATAACATTTTCTTAACCTCCCTCCGTACACGTCATTATACCGACACGTCCGCGTTCAAGTGCATTATGATTATATACTGCACGATGGTTGTTACGGATCCAAAAACAAATCGTACGAATTATAACTTGAAGCTCGCCGTTTAAAGAGTCTTTCGCCAAACGTATATATACCTTTGAACCGTTTCGATACGGCTATAGCTATAATAATATTATAATATCGTGTTGCACATTTTAATTTGCACGGTATCCATGATATAATAATCATTGTGATACTGATTGAAACGTTAAAAACCAGTGTATTATAGGTAGCTATAGATACATATATAGATACCGGATATGGTTTTTAATCTATTTAATTAGGTCTCCGTGACTGAAATTCAATATCATCGATTGATATCTTGTTATTATTATTAATATTAGTGAGTATGTAATAGTAAAAAGTCCGATAAAGCTGATGGGCGTACAATTTTTTCAAGAGGAAAGTTGAAAGAGAGTATACGTAGAATAATTTAATATACATACATATATATATTCTGTACGTGACGAAAAACGATTCTGAGCAAAGCATTTTTAACCGTACTTTTTTCTTTGGTGCCAATAAGGCATAACCCAAAAATCAACAAAAAATTATACAAAACATTTCCATTTTTTCCCATTTATTTATTAAAGAACTAGCTGACTCTTATAAATGCTTTTCTTTTGCTAGATAATAGTGTAAATAATAGTATTAATAATAATAGTTTGATTATCTGTGACAACGAAATTGTCATCCATATCATCACGATAACCCATCATGAGTAAACAAAAATAAACAATTAGATATTCGTACCAAAAATAACTAAAAACATAATCAGTGTAATTTTCATAGAGATCTCGTAATTTTTTTGAAAATACAAAATAACCCATGTTACTCATCTCTGATAATGTACTTTTATGTAGGTGAAAGAAGTTTGAAAATCGGTTAACTAGTTTTTGAGCTCATTCATTATAAAAATATAAAAAAAATCTTTTCTCTTTATAATATTTATTATTATGTATAGAAGACCACAAGAAAAATCAAAAAAATGACCTCCCTAATAAGATTGAAAGGAATATGACCGAGTTCATTGTGAAAGGTTTAAAAACCTTTAGAAAGGTTATCGATTGGGGAGAAACTTCTGGTGGAAAAGTTGTTTACAGGTACAAAAAAAAAAAAAAACAATACGTCATAGTAAAACCAATACATTCACTCGGAATGTAATATAGCTATGTATATACCTACAATTATTTTTGTGCGTACGATTGTAATTATGATATCGGTACAAATATCATACGGAATCCATGAAATTCGAACAAAATAAACAATACAGCCTCCCCGTCGACTATTCATATAATATGCGGGATCAATGTCAAGGACAACGCGCCTGTATAGTTGGCGGCGATCGATTACAATATAATACATAACATTACATTAAACACGCAATCTGTTGGCACTAACACTGTATTATTAATAATACCTACACATCGAACACAATCGTTTTACTCCGAGTTGTAATATTTCGATAACAATCGACTCGTGTTGACGGAAATATCCACGGCACATTATTGAGATGTATCCGGATAAAACGTTTTGTTAACCTTAAATCTATTCTTATCTAAACGAGAATTTCGATGGAATTGAAAATTCGAGGTTACTATCGATGTTTTAGGATTTACATCCCTCGGATATTTACAGAATTATGTGGACTGTTTAGAGTTGTGTCTCCTTGCAATGGCCGTTCAAAAGAATCGTCGATTTAAAAGAAAAAAAAAACCATACTATCTATCTATTTGATAGCTTTATCCGTATCAGTTTAGGAAACGAAAAAATAAACTTCATAAGTTAATTAAATGTGCACACGTTAACTTTTAACTCAACGCGGTTAAATCGTAAATAAAACAATCGAGTGTCAACGTGTTAAGTACTGTTAACGCGGTACGTTTAGTGTCGATTAACTTAACCGAGTTAATATAAACAGTATTCATTAACTCGGGGCTGGAAGAGTACCGAAAATTCGATAGAAAAACGAAATGGGAAGAGGGGGAAAGTCAAACAGTATTTCGCAAAGTACCTGTATACGCGGGTACCCGCAGCTGCGACTGCTCGATGCAATGGCGGCGATGGAAAATGAAACTAAAAGCGGAACGCGCACGAAAATAATAATATTATAGTGCGTGTATTCGTACGTCGAGAACGATACTACGGTGAAAAAAAAAACGAACAAAAAATATCCGTACATATAGAATATAAACATGGCCTATTTCCGGCATTATCCGTACACGACTATCTCCTGCGAGTTTAATCCGTGTCTGTTCTTATCAAACAGAATGAAAACTCTTTATACCGAAACTGCTTTTGACGAAAAACTCAATGCAACGTAAAAATTGTAAAAATAATAGTCGGTTGGCTTTATAACCTATACACATTTTTCACCTTCTCCATTGCGAAAAACATCTATAACGAAACGAATCGCTTGGCCCCTCGAGACTCGTTATAAAAAGTTGTCACCGTGCTATTGACGGCGTATTGGAAGACGGGACATTGGCTAGTTTCAGTTCACTTTATCGATTTTTCCGAGACCGTCTCAAACGCTCGAACCGAATTATTCTATTGAAATTTCTATAAATCGACCGGGTTTTGTTTTTACTTTTGAATTAAACGGTTTTTTTTACATTTCACGTTTGCAAATAAAAACCAATATTAATTATTAAACGGAATCCGATTAGGAACTCGCGATTAAGCATACCTATTACTGAATTTGACTGTCTATGCGACCGCGTTTGATGGCCCCGTATCCCGATCTTATCATCTAAGACGGCGATACGGAACGTAAAATCGGACGTGCGCATACCGTAAATAGGTATCTACCGATAATAGTATTGTCGTCGTTCCGTGCGCCGACAATAATAGACAATATTTTACACGATGTTCACGGTCCGTATAATACCAATTAATACGCGTCGTATGAGTACAGAGATATCGTATCGTGTTTGATATTATGATTATTATGTTTCTGTGTATCCACTAACGGGGCGCAAACGTTTCGAATCATCGGTTTACCTGTTATGGACTGAATCGACGTAGAAAAATTAAAAAAAAAAAAAAAAAAAAAAAAAAAAAAACGAACGATGACCCACATCAATATACGTTATCGATATATTTTATTAACGGACGCATATCGCTGTCGGTTCCGATATCTGTACGGAAAAATAAACATAACGTGCGGCGTCGGTGATACTATGACGTGGGTCTGTTCGGTTACAAAACATTACAAAACAAATCGCAGTTATATTTTCTAATCAATCACAAATAACTAAACCGCGGTGTTTTATAGAATCGCCGCGCCGGCGGACATTCCGCGGGTATTCAATTTTGCAATCCGATATTCGTCTCGGCAAACAATTATCTTCGAATCCGTCGCTGAAAAATAACCGGTATTCGGAATTGTCAAATAAAACGTGTACATATTTCGCAAATCGAGCAACGCAATCGGATCGGTAACTCGTTCGCGGTTATCGCAAAATGTTTACAGTCGATACGGTTTACGCCTTTTGATAACGGATTAATACGATCGGAAACGGCGGTCGCCTGCCATGTGCCCACGTGTTACATACGCGAAACGTAGGAATTCGGACATATTCTATTATTTCCATTTCCGACGCACCCCGATCGATCTAGAGAAGCGAGACACGCATATTTTAAAAGCAGATCTGAACACGCCGTCGAGTCTACTCGACTGCGCCGTTCTTTTGATTTCGCGATTCTTATCGCTTGCGTTAGACCGACCGCGGAACAGAACGCGTTTTCAGTTTCTGCGTTGCACGCGCGTACGGCAAACGCGGGAGATCGCCGCGCGGACACGTCCGTCCCCGTGTTCGGACAGAAATATGTTTCTCGTTCGTTCCCGCGACGTCATGAACGACAATGCCGCAGGCGATATTGTTACGAGTCGATACTTGCGCGTCACCCGTGCAGTTACGGTATCGCATTATTAATGAATTTTAACGAATCAGCGCGCGCGGAAAAAAAAAAAAACCCGACGAATATTTTTATTATTGTTATTATTTTTTTTTTTTTTCCATATTCCCGGACACCCCCCGCCCGTTTCTCGCCTATCGCACGTCCGATTTTTCCGTTGGCCGAACGGCGTAGACGTCCCGGGCCGCTATAGTCCGCTACGCGCGTACCGTATTCCCGTATGTTACACGGTCGACCGGCGCGCGTTTCGGACGGTCCGGCGCGACAGGCCGGGTGGAGGGGGGGGGGTTTGGACGGGTGTACGGCGATGTCGCGATATTCGCGCGCGGCCGTTGCCGGTTTGTCCAGTGGCGTCGCGGCGTGTGCGGCGGTACGACCGGCATAAGAAGACGTTCAAAGACGGCGGGAACGCTGTCTCGGTGTCACGCAAAAGCCGCGCGCGCCGTCGGCGCTGCGAGTCCCCGGGCCGAAACGAAGCGGATCGTTTTGTGACGGCGCACGCGAACGCCGCGCGGTTTCGGACGCGTCGACGCGGGAAATAAATCGACAGAACGAAAACGTCGGGAAACCGTGCGCACGACAACAACGATACGCACCGCTCCGGTCTCGGACACGCGCTCTTTTTCTTTTCTCTGTTTATTCAGTCCGTTCGGCGGTCCCGCATCGTTCAACCCCGTCGAACGAGTCCGGTATGCAGGGGGATTTTTTTTTTCTTTTGTTTTTTTTTTCATCAAACAGCACTCGTTATTTCAAAAAGTATTGACTTTTTACGAAATTTTTTTTTTTTTTGCACCCCTTATTTTCGGCAATGAAACGACTGCCCACTTTTGATTTTCAAACGGCAACCTGTATTGGAAACGCCTTAAATGAACTGTGGTGTTGTTTAAAACAGATTTCGGTGTTGACATTTTTGATTTCCGTCAACCCGTCAGTACCCTTTGAAATAACGAGCGTTGTTTGACAAAATGAAATCACTCTGTACATTATACGCGCTTATGATTTTCCGCCGCGTTTTCGTGGCCGAATATTTTTTCCGCAAAAGACGCCTAATACTATAACGTACGGTTATATTTTCATTGAAACGGTGGTGGGGAGTGGGGCGAGAGGGGATGAGTGAGTGTACACGATATTGTTTTTCGGTTTTCACGCGCCCGCGCATATTCATTACATAGGTAAAATACTCGCCTGTTAAAACGACACGATATTATGTGTTACCGGCCGCGCGGCGTGAGCGGCCGAAAAAACGACAACCGCGACCGTATTATAACGCGGAATGGAAAGCGACAGAAAAGGAAAAAAAAAAAAAATCCGCAAAATCCAACGCCGGCAATATTATACAGCCGATAAGTTACAATAATATTAATGCGCATTCGCGGTCGTAAAAAAAAAAAAAAATAATAAATAAAGCGCTCGCAGTGTAACAATAAAATACGTGCAGCGCTCAGCGACTGCAGCGCGTGTTAGAATAATATGTGCGCCGGGGATTTTCGCGCATAGCCGCCTGTAATTACCGTTTATTCGGAGCAATTTACGACGAATTTTTTTTTTTTTTTTTTTTTTTTATTCCATTCTGTTGTTTACCTATTTAACGTTCCCATAGTTCGCGATTAGTCGCGGTCTGTCACGGCGCGTAAAATCCTACGATATATATTAATGTGTGACCCACATCGGTGCCGCAGAACGCGAGCATCGTGTATACATGTATAGGTAGGTAGGTATAGGCATACAATATAATATGATATACCCTCGACTATACGCGGCCACTAAGACGCGACACAAATCGACCGCGATATATACAATTTTTTGTTTTTTATTAGGAATGGGACTTTATTGCGCGAAATTTTATTTTCAGCTCTGGGACGATACGACGCGTGTTTCGAACGCGTATACATATGTATATATACGTTTGTGTACAGACACGCGTCGTAATAAATTTGAATCGCGGTATAGTTTCCAAAAGCGAAACGCTTAGCGTTTTTCGCCGGTTTTTTTTTTCCATTTTCTGGTCGTTTTTCAAGGGCGTTTTGTCCGGGGATGCGTTTCGGAACGAACAGAGTGTTCGTTAGGACACCGAAATCCGGGGCGTAACATGGCCGTCGTAAATGTTCAGCAGCCACGGAGATTTCAACGCGATGTCCGGCGTGTTTTGAAACAGATATAGTCCTACAAATGGAAAACCGTGAACATTTTTCTTTGACACATTTAACTCGGATTTTAAGCGTATTTTTCTAGTTTTTACAAACGTTTTCGTTGTATTCGACGCGAAACGCGAACATTCCGTCGTTACACTGCAGTTATATTGCTATATGCAAAATATCGGTTCTTTTTATAAGTACATATGTTATTGGGTATACAGGAAATCTATCGTGGTAATAAAATTTAACAACGATAGTATTTACACGCGATTTTCAAAGGAGTTTGTTAAAAAAAGGCAACGCGACGTTGCGCCGACGATACTACACAATTGTTGCGCGTGTGTACCGTCGTTGCCGAATATTTATTACGGACCGCGAAACCGTGTCCGATCGACGGCATCATATATACGCTCTTTTAAAAATAAAAAATAAAAATACGCATATTTATATTATGCCACGTGATATGTTTTTTTTTTTTTTTTTCTTTTGAAATTTTTTTTAATTTTATATCGTAATCCGCGACGGCCATAAATACCCGTACGTCGTTCCGTCGTCGATGATGTTCACTAGAGTGTTTATTACCTTTATTTCCATGTTTTTTTTTTTTTTTTTTTAATTTGCATACCATCGAACGCGCAGGTACGTACGCACGGCGGCCGCGTTAGGTAGACGGGCAGGCAGGTAGGTTAGGTATAGGTAGGTAGGTATATTATTATTATTGCCGGCCGGCACGCTCGGCGGCGGCCAGTGCGAGAAAGTTTTTATTTTTATCAATAATTCAGTCAGTAGGTTATCGTGTGAATGAAACTGGTAAATTCGCATTATGTAAACCCCGCGGTACTGCTCGCGCCGGCGCGTCCGACTTCGTCGTAGCAAATACAAATTATCGAGCATAATGTTATTTATTTTATCGTATACATATGGCAGTACACGGGGTATAATGTTATACTTTCATTCCGTCGCCGCGACAAATCCGGCGAGTACGTTGCAGGTGGTGTTGTGTGTCGCGAACGGATTTTTACGGGAAAAAAAGAATAAATAAAAAAATGTTATCGCACGTATTCGCTATCGGCCGCGAACCTTGTCTGGTTTAACCTTACGGTTAAACAAAAAAAAAAAATCGATTCTGACCGCAGCTCGGTAAACCGATAAGTCCGCAGTCGGGCGTCAGTCGTTTCCGCCAAAAAGCTTGATTTAAATCCATTTATTCATGCCTATCTAAATTACAGTTTGAGATCCATTTATAGAGTTACCCGGGGAATGTAATATTTTGTTTGGACCGATTTCGTACGAAATGTTAAACTTGAACCCATCAATAAGATTAATTTTTTTTTTTTTACCGCGTTTACTCGTTACGAATTCTATTTGAAAAAAAAATATACATATAAATTCCAACATATTCAATATCGGAACAAATTGGAACATTTTTACAAACCGAAAATAGTGTCTTCTAAAATAAAACACACACACACATACAACTAATCAAACACTTAGTGTCTAAAGTGTGTAGAATACGAAGAAAACAGTTAAAATATATTAAATGAGTTTTCTACGCGAGATCAACCGATATCTATAGACGATTTGAAATTATACTTACAAGACACACGCGAGTACGTATAATAGATGCCTAGTTCGTTTTCTACGAGACAGCAGCACTCGTATACGATAATATTGTTTTCTACAGACAAATTTTGATTTATGATCGATTATTATTACTTACTATGATTATTTCGTCTTATTAATGACTTGTCCGGGCCGAAATGATTTATTACACATTCGCGGCGTAGTTCGTTAAAAATTCAAACCGCCTACGACAAAATAATAAGCGATAAGTGTGGAAAAAAAATAATACTTCTGAATGTTCAACTGATTACAGGATTTCCGCCGCTATCCTACCCCGTTTCCCGTCCATACGACACGTCTTATCTCAGGTGTCTCGGGGAAAAATAGTTATTTTAGCGATACAATTATCGTGTTGTACGCTGTGTGCGAGTAAGGTTTATTATTATAATTATTTTTTTATTTATTTTTTTTTTTTTTTCTATAGATTAGATTCTGACAACTTGCGTAAAAAGAAACACGCCATAGAGTATAATATGGCGACGAAGCGACGACCCTGGATCGCAATCATATTAATATTGTGATCCATCTGCGGCGGGTTCGTTTCTTGACAATCTCAATGCGAGATCTACGGAGCGCGCGTCATCGAGGATAATTTTTTTTTTCCGCCGGACGCGTTGGAATCGTCGACCGGAAGACCGTTTTCATCAAAGACTTAGTTTCATCGTTGTTTACACGACACGTATAGCTGCGCAATACCTACTCGTGTACCTACGACTAAACGTATATAATTATACCCGTCGTCCGGCGAGTACTTACAGCTAGTAATTTAAGGGGGTGGGGAAGAGGAAGGGCAACTTGCCCCGGTCTAGCAGCGTGTTTAAACTGTTGTATGGTCGTTTTTTTTTTTTTGATTTTCGAGTCTACTATAATAGAATATCCTAAATAGGACGTAGATATCTATTGGACGTGGGAATTGTTTAGATTTAACGAGCAACAAAAAAAAAAAAAAAAAAAAAGAAAAAATACAACAAAATGTCATCATATCAATTTAGATTTAACGAGCAGGAAAGAAACGAAAAGAAAACCAATCTCTGCAGTTGGCAAAGGCAATTTGGAAACTTTGCCCCGGTCTATAATACATAGCAACCACTGAGATGACCGCACAATATTGTTGATCTCGTGACGGCCGAAAAAGACGAACGGGCGTATCCAAAAACGAACGTTATAAACTATATACATATCATTACGATTTGGTATTTATGAAACGCCCGTAATATTATATCATATCATTTTGAGTATTAGTATGACCAATGTGACTATATATGCAATTTTCATATAAAACGCCGCGTGTTGATATTTTTATGCGATAATCTGTCACTGTTTACATTGCGTTTCAGGCAGGTGATTTTTTAACTTTCAGACATTTCCACAAGTTTTTCCTTTCTCGAAAATATAATTGGCACGGTGCGCTGAGGTTTAACAACACTGTTGTTTAACGTACACCATACACAATACGCGGATAGTTGAATTTTTCTAAAGTTCGTCTAAAAATTAATTTCCAAAGAACGCGATGACGGTGATTGACGATGACGCGATGATTTAGTTTATAGTTTACGTTATATTTCATCGAATACCTATACCCGTAATATGCTTATGTACAACAGTGACGTGTTCGTAAAAAAAAAAAATATAAAGGTGTCGGGACGAGTAAACATAACACTATATATGTGTAGCGTTTTTTTTTTCTGGTTTTCGTGATACTATCTTATTCGACAGTGCACGAGTACAATATCGTCGGAATCCCGTAGTTCGAATATTATAAACCAAACTTGGCGTGTATCGTTTTCGCATTTTTTACGAACGCGCCGGACTGCGCGTGTGTTGAAATTTCGCGAAAAGAAAACGCGGCTGGCCGTGATTTTGGCACGTAGATATCCGTGCTAGAACAGTGCGGGACCGATGGAACCGCTGCCCGCAGCGACGCGCCGCGACGGCAACCGCGCATCACCAAGTCGCCGCCGTGCCTACGGTACAACGTTAGTCGACTCTCGGTAGAAAACCGACACGTTTCCCGTGACTTAAAAATTGTATAACGCGAGTTCCGGGCACGCGATTTGCCGAGACCAACGACGGCGGCTGTGTTGGTATTCAAATGTTTTCTACGGCCGCGGAGACCTTGTGGCGGTGGGCGCGAGAGGCGACGGCGCATAATAGTGTCCTCTCGGTCGAGACGAGAGTGCCTGTACAGCGTGCAGACATGTAATGCGGTAAACAGAAAATGCACGTTCGACATTGAACGGAGATCTTATTTGTTGGACATTGCGGTTGTATATACGGGGAACCAGAGGGGACGCGGCTTCAACAGGTATGAGGCACACTCCGTGGTGGCGGTGTGCACGACTCGCGTGTGGATCGATATAGCACATTGATCATGCCTCAGAAATAATCGTTTAAAATATCAATAAAACTCGAACAGGCATATCGTATACGAGAAACCGGCGCGTATCGAAACGGCCGGGTTGCCTATTGAAATCCGCAACGTACGAGTCGCGGCGGTGCAATGAATGCGACGCGGTTTTGCGGGTCGACTTTGCAGCTATACATTCGATATTTTTAACTCCGGTATTGTGTACATCGATTATAGACATATTGCTCGTGTAATTTCGCGAAAAAAACATTGTAAAAAAAAAAATTCGAACGTGTACGTTCTCGTGGGTGAAAAGTTTGAAAGGTACGTAGGATATCTCGTAATTGAATTCTGTACGTTAGTACGCCTAAACCGAACGAAACGGTAAATCGTCGAAATATCCGTAAACCGTTCTGAACGGAATCGTGCCGTTTTCCCTTTGTAATCGGCGTGTACCTTCATTTTATGGAAATCTATTATACATAGTCATTCATGACCGAACAAAGAATCGCCGAGCGCGGCGAGACGCGAATAGTTCGGAGCGTTTTTAATAACCGAAAAAAGTGTTTTACTAGCGGGCGAAAACCCCCCCGTTCCCGTTCCGGTGAAACCAACACGCAAGTTTATCGTTATAAAACACTCGAAATCCGAAGAGTTGAAACGTTTCTCGCGTATATATACGGCCAGCATGAAAATACCAATTTTACCTGGCCGTTTCATATTGTATTATCGTTCCGAATCATACGCGGGAGTGTCTCCGAAATGTTGTTTTATTATTGTTTTCTTTCTGAAAACACTTACGCCGCCACTACTGTTTCTTGTTTGTTTTCGTACTGTCGCCGGATACCGGTCGTACACCGCAGTCGTTATAAATCATCATAATTATTATTTCCCCTCCCCCACCCCTCGGTTCGGTGCCTATAGTTACCGGTATTGTTATCCTATGTACACACACACACACACACACAAAGATACGTTTTGTTGTTTTTCACTCGTCTGCGGCAGGTGGTTACGACACCGTATGATAATATAGTAAATATAGTAATAGTAATGATAAAAATAATAATTGTAAACGTTCGAAAGTGACGCGATGATTATTCGACCGTAATTCGAATTCGTTAATAATGTTTGCTATTTTAACGTAGAACCGTTCATAAAAAACACTCGAATAATAATAATAAAAAAAAAAACAAACCCAGAATTATGTAATATAGTTCTTCGGGCAAAAACGGGACGAGTCAATTTTCAGAATTTTTTGTTATTATTATTTAACTCGCGTAATTTTTATTTTTGTCCCGGTTATTTTTCGGCCTAAATGGCCACGTGTAACCACTGTGTATTCGAAATACGAGCGTTTGTACGCAATTTTCAAAACGTAAAATTTATTCGCGCTGAAACCTTTTTGATATCTTCTTCCCCGGGACCAAAGAGTGTTAAATTTTATTCGATCCGTTTTCAATTTTGAAATTTTCCTCGCGTGAACCGAACGGGTATTCAGTTAAAATTATTTGTTAGGGTTATTTTTTTTTTTTTTTTTTATAATTAACAACCGCGGGCGGGTAGAGATTCGAACAAGAATTTAAAAAAAAAAAAAACCGATCGTTTCTATACGCGTCGTTACTCGTTATAACCCGGAGATTATCGGTTTTAATTTGCAATAGTATACCAGCGGGAAATTCACCGCTCGGTTTTTATTATTATTTATTTATTTATTTTTTTCACGGTTCTAAAATTCAAGACCGCCGTCGTTCCGTCCGATTTTCAACCGAGATAGATGCCGTTCCCCGCACAACCCGCTCGCGTGAAAAACAACGCACTCGTATAATAACTATCGCGGACTCCGGCCGGGGGCCTAATAATCAATACGTTATCCGAATAATGCGTTTCGTTCATTACCGTTCGCGTACCTACTCTCGTTCCGACGGTGCGTATCGCGTACCGATCGAAAGATTCGGATTCGCGACCGGCCGAACGGCTCGAAACGAGACCGCGAACCGGGGAACGCGAAATACGAACGCGCGGAGAATATTACAAGGGCGCGTTATTCCTTCTCCGCGGACCGTCCGGGGCCCTAGACCCGACCCGGTTTCCGTACGTCGTCCGTCCCACCCGACGCAGTACTACGCGGCCCGCGCGTTTTCGAAATACGTTTCCTGGCTAGCGCGCAGGACACAATAATTATCGTGTCACAATGACGGAAATTGCGGTTATTTTTACCTGGTGCGGAATTGTATGACATTAGCTCCGGTAATCCTCGTCGACGACCGCGCGCGGCAATACCGGCGGCGCGATATTTGGGTATCGGAAAACGGTCGCGACCACTAAACGCGTAGTACGAGTAAAATAATTATAACCGTTGGTGTTGCGACGGCGACGGAAAAACGTTATTTCGGATATTCCATCCGAGGCGGCCGTCTAACCGAGCACCGTTCATCCGCGCGGCACGGAAATCCGAAAACCGAAAACGGAACCCGAGCGGTCGAAAATAATACAGTTAATTAATCGCGTTGCGTTCCGATACGGTTATCGATCGCGGCGCACTCGCGAATATTATAGAAAAACCACCGACGGGAGGGTGAAAACCGTCAACGAACAGCGGTTTTTTATTAAAAAACAGAATGTTAATTATTATTGTTTGCTGCGAGCGGTTAACGTGTGGTTTATCGCGGAACGATAACGGAGAGACGTGTGAACGGAAAAAAAAAAAGAAAAAAACCGAATTCGCCTGCGTATAATAATATCGTGCGTAGTCGGCAAGCGAACGGAATGCGCGCCGGTAATATTACAAAAAACGGTAAGCGATTCCACGCGGTTCGACACCTGTACGAAAACTGAGAACGTCTCCGGCGTTTCTTTCACTGGCCGCCGCGCCGCAGCGCCGGCACTCTCTCCCGGCGGCGCAACCTGTTCCGCGCGGGCCCGACGATCGCGGCCGCCACCGACGACGACACCGCCGCCGCCGGTTTATCCGGTACGCGGAACGGACGGGCGCTAACGACGAAACGCCGCGGAAAACGAAAAATTCGCGCCCCGTCGTTGTCCGTTTTACTTCGCCGTTTCGACATTTTCCCGTCTTGTCGCGTGACTCCCCCTCGGGAAAAGAAATATACGCGGATTTTCGTGAAGTTCTCCGCGACTTGTACGAGAACTTTCCGGAATTGTTTGACGTCGCGTTCATTTTCGACGTTCAAACGGTTACCTGATTTTGATTTTGAAAATATTCTAAAATTCCCTAATTAGACGGTGTATTCGTTTAAACGCGTTTCGATGTTGACATTTTCGATTGACCCGTTTACCTGCACCTGGATATATTCCGCTTTTACGTTCGGGTAAGGGGAGAGTAGCGGATCGTCATTTGTGCGGTCGTTCTCCGCAAATCTCCCCCTACCCAAACTTAAAAGAGGAATATCTCGAATCGTTCAAGATGTAAAAAAACGCTATTCGAGTCCGATTGGAAACTCGCGTACATCACAACACACGGTTGTATTTTCCGCCTCCTCCGTCATAAATATCAATTCGTAGAGATTTGCATACGCTCCGGCGGTAATCGCGCACTCTGTATGCGAATTCAAGCGAACATACAGTAAACGTTTTCACGGTGCGCCTGTAATATACGGCCATACCCGACAACCCGAGTGCGTTGTTATATATAATAAGTCATGACCCGCGCGAACTCTGGAACGCGGTAAAGAGTTTATTCGCACAATCGAATTTTCCAGTCGAATGGATCGACTTCCGTTTCGTAATAATCTATTATACTGATATTTACTTTTCATTGCCGTACACGAAAAATCGTTAATGAAAATAATCTGACTGTATCGAATTCAATGTGTTTATTCGTTGTTTCGCGGCGGCAGCGTTTGGGCTTCGTTAAATGTTTTCAAAACAATGTATTGCTTAATTATTATTATCGTTCGTGTTCCCACCTGAAGATTTCTCCTTCTCATTGAAAATGTATTTCGAAAAAAAAAAGTAATACTCGGTCGTCAAAAGATATTTTAAGGCTGATTGTAATAATGTTTCGTTTTTTTTTTGTATTTTTTTTTAAATCACGTACCTACCGGCGAGTTTTCAAACAAAATATTGTTTGTGAAATAAAACCATAACATAACTAATAACAAATTATAACTACAACCATTATGGCCGTATTAGTTTGCTGTGAGGCTGTGGTAGCTGTAGCTCTCCCGTAATATTTTGTAGCCCCCCTCTCAAACACTATTTTATGCGACGTTACAGTTTTGCGAAACTATATTAGTAATGAAACCGTAATGAATTATTTCGATTTTATTTATTTGTTTTATCTGAATTTTATCAAGCCGGACATTTTGCGTGGCTTTTTTTTACTTTTTGTGATATAAGATTAATTTCGAAATCGGACACGCCACGATTTTTTTATCGGGCATTTATGCAGCTGTTGTTATTTCGAATAAACAAAAAATTGAAATAATATTGACGAAACAAACATTGTTGCCACACACAAAAATAAAAAGCGGGTATTTACAGATAAAACAAGTAGATGGGTAATAATTTTAGCATTGTTTGTCGTTCTTGTGAATTTAGCTGCGCAATATTAGCAAACAACAGTCATCGATATTCTAAACGTTCTAACGGAATTGCTGTTTGTATAGTTTTGCCGTGTTAGACGTCTTTCATAGCTACGGACTTTATTTTCGGCTCAAATCAAATTTAAATATTTTGTGCTGCTATCTCCATCATACTACAAAACACGTTGTTAAACTCGCCCGAAAATTAGTCGGAACATTGTTTTTTTCTGTTGATTTAACGTATTTGTTCACGAAAATCTGACAATTGCCCATGGCCATCAATGACATAAAAACGTGTTGGAAAAATACGTTTTCAGAAGTTAATTTTCTCGATCACGATATTTCGCGGAACGATCGATCGCGCTGTGACCCGAATTATGACGCGTAAATTCCCGACCTTGATTCCAATAATAATAAATAATCATATTATAATCGTTCGTGATGTTGGGAAAATAAAAAGTAAAACAGCAAATCGGTTTGTTCTAAACATTTCGAGGATAATTTTCCCGCTCGACTCCGTCGGGATAGAACTTGCCTATTCGCAGGCGGTTTGATCGCCGCAGTGACTTAAACACCGCTTTACGGATGACTGCAATTTTCGTGACTGAATAGATTTGAGAAAAAACACAATCAAAATAAACAAAAGCGAAATTTAGATTTAAATTATCATCACTGTGCGAAATTCAAATGTACACGAAAGAAGAATGTCGATGAAGAACCTACCTACGATTATAGGCAACCGCCGGGGTATCGACAATTTCAATTATTAAAAACAAATTTATATAATAGAAAACTATAGAAAACGTCTCCGATTTTCTTCGGCGATGATTTAATTGGTAATAGCCTAATAGAGAAAGGAGGACGGGTTTTCTAGGTGATAATACAGTACCGGAGTCAGTTGTGTTTTTCAAATATATTTTCTATATAAAAATAAAATATTATTTTAATAATTAATAATTCTATTATTATTATTTTTTTAAACAATATGTTATTAACTAACAACAAATTTGATTTACTTATTTTAGACTCATAGCATAGTGATGTGTGTATTAGTTTTTCAATAATATGGTGTTTATCTTTTATCTGTAAACAACTTTTTTGCCAGAAATCTTGATTCGATTTTCAAGTGTAGTACTTTTTTTAGAAGTAATTTTAGATTTTCCAATTGGCTTCGATAATAATTAGGAATATGCGGGAAAAACGTAAGAAAAACGGGAAAATTTAAATGTATAAATGAAACTTCGCTCCGAATCGTTTTTCGTTAGCGATGGTTTATAATTGTATACAGATATAAATTATATTTATTTTTTTTTTTGTTTAATTGTTTACATATTATTACTGGTACTACTACCTGCGATAAGCTCGATTGGGCTCATATGGGCTCGATAAATCGGAGCGCATATACTTGAGTTGATAAATTAAAATGTTGGGGGACTCGAGTTTCATAAATCAGAACATTGCAGGGCTCTAATAGGCTGGACTGGGCCTAAAATATAAGCCCCTTCGGTGCTCTAGTAGGCATATAGGTAGGTAGTAATTGTCACACGGGGGAAAAACGAGGTGGAGGTCGAAAAATGGTTTCGTCTACTGAATACGATTATTGTTATTATCACACGACGACGACGAAAACGTTCCTTTTCTCCGTGGCTGGTACGCGGAAATATTCGTCTGGTCCGGTCCGTTTGGACGATTGCCCGTCATACATTTTTTTTTTACTACGACTCGGGCAACAGTTGTAATACATATAGATAGTTACGTTTCGATTGTTTTTGTATACCTATCGCTAGCTGTGTAAGCGGCCAAGGCACGAACGGTATCAATGTCATCGAATAAAACGTATATTACTGACCGACATTGTCACGGACACCGATGTTTTACTATACAATATAGTATTATTTTATGTAGGTATAAATGTGTCATTTGGCTTTCGGCGATTTTCAATAGTGCAAATAATATATATATATATATATATATTTTTTAAACATTCGTCCGGACGACGCGACGTGCAGTTGTATTGTACAAGCTGCTGCTGTTGCATAGCATCAGTGTCGCGTTTTCCCACCTATACTATGTAATTTTACGTTTTGAGGAAACGCGAAATTCTATTACAAATAAAAAAAAACTACGCGTTTGTCTCGATATATATATTTTTTTTTTTTCTAAATATTATTATATAATTTTAAGCAAAACAGATTAACATATACAAAACCATTGTCCCTTTCTCGTGTAATACTTATTCATTTCACACGCGTCAACGGCAGTATATTATTATTACATTTGAGTGCTGCAGGTAAAGGGCCCGTTTGTGAAGTGCTACTTGTTCAAAAGAACGCTTCATAGGAAAAACCGTCACACCTCGCATGGTGAACGGATTTCAATTAACTTTTTATTTATCGGAAGGAGGAAAACTCCTTAAGGGGCACATTGGACATGGATTTTGAAACTTATACTTCTAAACGCTAGGAATAAAGTTAAAATGTAACCTACTTTTACAATTTTTCTAAACCACTTTTTTTTTTGCATCTATGTAAAGTATGTTTTGAGCAAAAAAACAGGTCATGCACAGGTTTTTTTGAACATACAAATTAAGACTGATTATACTTATTGATAAGACTTTGTTAATTATACATTTTATTAATAATTTATTGTTAGCAATTCATAAAAAAAAAACTCTAATCAAGGCCCTTAAAAACATGTTTCGCAAACTGGATTTTTTTATTTTTCTTTACCTTCATCCCAACTATTTGGGGTAGGCCATACTCAATCTAAACCTCTACTTGACTCTATCCCTCATCATCCTTGCGTACATACGTCGTCCCCATATCGTTCTGAATTGCTTCAAACTTCCTCCTTGTCACGTTGTTGCTGTGTAGAAAACTAAATATCAGTTAAAGTCATCGGCTTCGAAACTCGTAACAGACGTATGCAGTCAACCTTTCTCACTCGCCAATAGCTGTCCCCTTATTCGACAGTAAGTTTTTGAGTGCCTTGAAAATACTCTTGAAAGTCTTAACTAAGTAATACATAATATGATCGGTTGCTTGGAATAAGGCATGAGTGCAGTTATATTGCAGACTATGTATTTTAATTAATACTGTTTATCGACAAGTACCGACGAGCGTCACATTTTAAATGCTGTTTTTAAATAAGTACTATGTAGACTATTAAATATTTAATATATGTTGATAAATTAAGTCTTATTTGTATTAAAATACCGAAGTAATATGTTGAAAGGTTTCTTAAAATAAAACGTCTTTAAAAACTAAAAATATTTAACAAAATAGATTATCAAATTTAAATTTAGGTTGTCAAAATTACCTCAAACTGTTTTACTGATATGGTATTTTAAATTAGAATAATATTATAATATAATGAGGAAAACGAAAATTTAATATTGTTAAAAAATTAATGTTTATGAAATCATCTCAAATAATCTTCATAAATTATCTAATATCATACATAGCATAATTATTTAACAAGAATTATTTTATAATCTATACTTAGCAAATTATTGTACTCTGACTTATTATTATTATAAAGTATAGTATATTATGATTTATGAATTAATTTTTGCATTTAGGTAGGTAAAAAAAAACGATAGTATAGCATGGATCGGTAGCCAGCCGTTATGCACAAGGTTTTTTTTTCGTCAATATATCGGTAAATATAACGTTTTCGGGTGAATGACAAACGTGTTAAAATATTTTAAATCATATTTTATGGTAAGAGTATTGCAAAAAAAACTGGGCGAGAAGAAAATGTCGCGTAAATATAATAATACAAACAACAACAAAAATGAATATTTCAACACGAAACCTTGGGTGAACCGAGTAAACAATTTATTCGTTGACCATACCAAATGGAGAGGAAGTACAGAGCGGGATGGCCCCTCGGGTCATTAGGTTCCAAGGGCCTAAATTGTTTTCTAACATTATCTTTAGCTATGAATTTCATTATTAACTTTGTATTTTGATAAAATTCCGTTAGGTATTTATTGACGGCTTAGTATTACAATGCATTTTTTTTGATCGAGGCAAAATAGAAAGATTCCAAAAATTAGATAGATGTAACGATGAGATTATCAAGTAGTTGGATCATTTGACAGTAGTTGCTTCTGTAGAAGTGTAGACTTCTCATCGTATACTTTATTGCATAAATGTTATTACAATATTTTTTTACTACTATCATATCAATGTTTACCGTATACTTGAATATTTATGCTGATGTCATACACAATAAAATATTTACTCGGTTTTATTCGATTATAAAATGAATTCGTTTGCATAACAATTATTTGTATTTAAATTATTTAAAAATAATATTTAAATTTAAAAAAAAATAGGTGATACTGAGGGCGGGTGCAGCCAGTATTGAGGTGAAGTGCAGTAGTTGGGATGCATAAAATTATTTAATTTATACCGGGAACTAACGATAACAAAAAACGGTTTAGAGCGAAGTTCGGTTACATATGTTTAGAAAGGCTATAATATTTGCGATTTTCGACAAAATTTAATTTTAAAATTAATAATAAAAAAAAAAAAATGTACTACATTACACTCAATTTTATTTTTGAAACAAAATTCATGTAGTTTTTCCTTCTTACCCACCCGACGTAGTTTATTTACAAAAAAAAAAAATGTTCGAAACTCAGATTTGAACTTGTGAAGTTAGGTTATTTTATTATAAAATGGTTCAATATATAATATTGTTATCAATATCTAATTTTATAAATTGGAAATTTTATGTCAACTTTACTTTACTATACCCACCTCAGTTTTATGCAATTTCTAAATTTAATGGTTAATTAAAAACCTATACGAAATTTGAATTCAACACCTTTTAAAACATATAAATCGTAATTAAAATTACAAATAATGTAAACTTTTAAAAAGAATCCTCTCCCATAACTCCCCTAAATAATAGGTCAGTTGAAAAACGAATGTATCCTCAAAACTAATAGATTTGGTTTATCACACTATCATATAAGTTGAAATTTAAGGGAAATTAATTTAGGCAAGCTAAATTACAATTTGGATCACTGTGTGCCACCATAAATTTGTCAGTTTTCATTTTACGTTTTCTTCCAGTTTGTCCTAATTATTGGTAAACCTACAGAAAATATCGAAAAACAATTAACCTCCTAATGGACTAGATTAAAAATTCAATAAAAAAAACTCTCTTGTCTATTGGAGCATTATTTATGGTATAAAACATGAGCCGTACAAATTTGAAAAACTGAAATCGTTGTGCCGTAAAAAAAAAATTGTATATTTTGTCGTTTTTGGTTTTTCTCAATTATTATGAAAAATACTTTAGATTTCTAAAAACGATTTACTCTATCAGTGGCGAGATATTATAAGAAACAAAATCAATTTTTTGTCGTTTTTAGATTGGAGCAAAATTTCTGGTAAAAAACATCGTAAAACAATGAAAACGGTAACGCCTCGATGTGACGTAAATATTTGCCGTTTTACCTATATGTACTTTTCTTTCGGGTTTTTCTCGATTATTTCGAAAAACCCCTTAGAAAAATCAAAAATCACCTCCTCAATGTGCTAACGAAAGAAAATTTCATTTCAGAAAAGATATTATAGTCTATACTTTGGAGCAAGTTTTCTGGTAGAAAAGTTGTTTACAGACACAAAATAAAAAAAAAAAACGTATTTATATGAAAGCACATAGTAAACCCAATAGATCCCTAGCTACGTTTCGAATCAAAAAAGACCACGTCATCTCTCCGAATTTACCGTTCTTTCATTTTGAGATAAGTACGAGTGTACTGTATAACATGACTACATGACAGACCGCCGGCCGCAATATTATGATTATACATAGCTCGTAGTCGAAACCGATATAATTACTATAGGTAATAGGTACTCTGCGAATGACGTACTTGGTACTTGTAATGTGTAATCGTATCGAAACACAACGATTCGGATGCGTAAAAAATTCTGATTAATCTTCCCGGACTACATCGACGACGGTGTAATACATTTTTCTCACTACAGAGAGCTCTCAGTACGACTTACACGTGATTGAAATAAGAAACTCTTGTCGAAATATGTTTATTCCGATACGTGGTATAAATAAAAACCAGTAATAATCGATTTGTCAACGATTTAACGGGTCGCAATTATTATGATCGCATTCCACGACAGTGTTCGAGTGCTTTCGAATCGCATACGTACAGCTGCACGGGTCGGGTCAGTACGACGTCATTCCAGACCCACTTAATCGAAAATTAATTTCCCCCCGCTCCGAGGTGAGTTGAGAATTCGGAATTTGGGGAATCCAATACATTCGGGAAGTAGTTTTTTGAAGTTACTAGTATTTTTTTTTTTTAAGAAAAATTGTCAAAAAAAAAAACTGAACACCGGTTTCGGACAAATATCTGAAGTATGCAGAGATCTGAAATTATGAACATGGACGGGCGGTCAAATGGACGGACTAACAACTTATTAAGGGGATTAGTGACGGTGTATATTTTATTCGAATAAGACTTGAAAACCAGACAAAACTGTAGGAATAGTGTTTGACGGATTTCCGTATTGAACGTGGATTATGATTTTTTAGGATTATCACTAGTAAATAAATGTTGAAAATAAAAATTAAATTTACTAAAAATCATTACAAATTTAATTGTATTTTTGAAATTTTTTCTTGTTGATAACTTAATACAATACTATGTTATAACCATGCTAAAAATATTAGAAGACTTTCGAAATTCGCGGATATCGTATACTATTAAAATTAGATGGCGCTAGTATAACGCGACTGATTATTAGCTCAGGTCATTATGTTAAATATTTTATTATTTTGCGGATTCAGATTTTAAGGCAATATGAATAAATATTCTTTATTAATCTTACTAAAGATACTTTACACAATAATTCTAAAAAATTAAAAATTAAAATTACATATAAAAATACAATATTATTTACACATATTATGTTTAAAAAAAAAGCTTGTAAAGCCTTGAAATCAGAACTAAGTAATATGTACTGTGCAATAATACTAACACGATATCCTAAAAAAAAAAAAAATGCGTAGTGTTACACATTTTTATAGGTATATTATAATATTGTTATACAATACCGTACATATAAAAAAACAAAGTATTTCAAAATATGTGGTTATTTAAAATAATATTTCAGATGATTTTTTTCTCCATCATCTCAAATAATATAAATAAAACAGTTTATTACTGTAGTATAACCTTGTTAATAGGTTTGTATTCATGATTATTATTTGAAATTTGTATTTAGAATTTGTTTGTACAATATTTTTATGTTGATAAATTATGCACATTATTTATTTATTTTAAAAAATATTTAGTATATTTTTAATATGATTTTTTTGTCGCTATTAGGTTGAAAATAATTGTAGAGACCTGTAAAAACCATGAATGATTAGTGAATAATCCCTTTCTCAAATCAAACTGATTGTTACTAAAAAAAATGTAGTTATTGTTATTTTTTGTAATTCAATTAAAAATATTCCTAAGGACTTGAAATTTGGACAGAAAACTTATACTTGCTTTTTCTAGACATAGTTAAATTTTCAAAACATTGGAGATATTTTTAAGCTTTGTATAAAAACTTTAATATTATTGTTGAAATTCAGTTAAAAATAATTGTGTTGACTCTATGGACTTAAAATTTACTGAAATATTTACTTTTTCTAGATGTGGTCAAATTTTCAAAAAATTTAAGCCATTTTTGAGCTATTTATTGATATTTAAATTATGCAAGTTTTGTACGTCATTTTTATTCGGTAAGTATTCTATAGTAAAATTGTTAGACTTTACAGAAATGCTAGACAATTTAACAGGAGATTTATTAAATATCTTACATTATAGTAAAAAAAAAAAATTTAATTTAATGTAGCATTTTTTTTTATAAAGGAATTTTAATATCAAATTTTGACGAAAATTTTATGAGTAAAAAATTATATGAAACAAATCCAATTTTTGTCGACTTTTCGTTATGAAAATTGTATGTATATTGCCGATTTAAGGGGCCTGCATGTGGCTGTATTAATTAAGGAGTAAAACTTAGGCAATTTCCGTTCACGTCGACGGTGGCCGAGATCTTTGTCGTAAACGATTATTAGTGTTAGTACGCTTCTATGTGTTTACCGTCGTAGTGACTCTGCCTTCTCCGTCAATGTAAAACCGGTTTACAGATTACTTT